TGATGATTTTTGTCAGTGCCTACTATGTTCAAATGGTACTCCAGATGTTTTGGGATTGTACCCAAGGAGCCTATCGCTATTGGTATTATCTTTGCTTTCTTTTGCCTCAGTTATTCTACTTCTATTGATAAAATAGATCTATTGGTGTCAGGTCTTTGTATTTTGTGATTTTTTTTCCAGTTCTACTCTGCTCTCTACTGTCCACTATCCTGTCCACTATCCCGACTTTAATTATTATTATTATTATTATTATTAAATACACTATTATGTCATGCTATATTACAAAATTTAAGAGTAATTAAAACAATTAAAAATAAAATGAAACTTGACAGCCTGGATTCAAAACAACCGTTAAAACCAAGACATCAGCCTGTTTCCCCAAAACAGTAACCTTAGGCCTGACTATATTATTTCACTGGAATCTTGTTGCTTTGTTCAAACCTGTTCAGGTTTATTTATTTCTTTTTAAACTGTGGTGCTCAGAACTGGGAGCAGTAATTTGATTAACCTAACAATTGCAGAATCAGAAAAGATTTGTTATCTAACTGCCTGGTTTCAAAAATTCAGTTAGAGCTGCCTTCTCAGAAAATCAAGACACAACTAATCTTTATTAGAAGTCAACTATTGCCAAATAAGACAACTGAAGAATATGATTACAGAAGCACTTGTATATTTTCAAATTACCCTACTCTATTCCAATGCTGCTCTCTGGTCAATCCAATCTGATTTTCTTTCTCTTATCCTAAGAGTCTCCTCTTTTTGTATTCTAAGCAGACAAAACTTTGTGTTTGTCTGGGCACTTTGCATTTTCCAAATCCCACCACTAGTTCCTGTGGAGTGAAACAGATGCCATCTAAAATTGTCTGCCAGTTTTGCAGTCACATTGCACTGCTGATTCATACTCATTCGGACATTTCTCACAAGTATTATTGCAAAGACATTTTTTTTTCATTCTATATCTTGTCATTTTATTTCTGTTTCCTAAGTGAAAATCTTTGTTTCTCTTACATCAGTCCGTTATTTTAGGCTAATTTTACTAAGCTTTCAAGGCTGCTGTGTTATATATTAAGCCTTTTCTTGTATGTATTCCCTCTATCTCCTCATCCAAGTCACAAATAAATGTAGTGAAGAGTACAGGACCCAGGATTGAACCATGTGGCAAATGACTCCTTTCTACCGCTACATCCTTCCTCTTTCCAATTGCCCTGTGACATACTCTCTGAGGGGAGGGCTGAGCCAAAATAAGAGTTAAGTAATGCCTCTGTTTTTTGTTATCCACTGATGTTTTGCCATTTTCACTGAGCTGATTAATGCAGTACTGATTCCATTGCTTCCTTTTATTTTGAATATATATGGCATTTTCCCTTCACCAATCTGATGCTTAGCCTTTCTGACACCATTCCTCCAATTCTAGTTTATCTCCATGTATTTTTTCTGGTGATCTATCCATATTCCTCTTTCCATCTTTTATAAATGCCCTTTTCAGTTTTCAGATTTTTGGTAGGCATTTTATATACTTACATGGGCTTTTACTTACTATGTACTTATTTGTATTGTATTACTTTACTTATTATTTTAATTAAGATGCTCTTTGTCGCATTCCCCATTAACCTAGATTTTTGAAATCTTCCTTTCAATTGTTTCTATACCTTTTTACCAAGCTATATAATTGCTATATTCTAATCATGAGCTTCACCCCATTGGTCTGTAATGTAGTTGTAATGTAACCGCTCTGGAAGATCAAAAACAGCAAGATTTTCTCTTAACACTTCATCAAGTATTGAATTAAGATGGCTAGATACCAAAGAAATGCTACTGAAAACAAGCAGGAGAAATCAGTATGTTCACAGAGATTCCAAAATTTGCAGAAGTAAAAAAAAAAAAAGTTGCAGGAAGAACAAGTCACCATCTCTTTTTTTTGCCAGGCTCTAATACAGTGGTTCTCAACCTTCCTAATGCTATGACCCTTTAATACAGTTCCTCATGTTCTGGTGACCCCCCAACCCCCCATTCAGCTGGCCGGGGAGGGGGGCAGGAAGGCTGCTCCACCGGCTCCACCCAGCCTGGTTGGAGAAGCGCCATTCCTCTCCCTCTTTCTCTCTTTCTTTCCTCTCTCTCTTTCTCTCTTTCCTCTCTCTTTCTCTTTCCTCTCTTTCTCTTTCTCTTTCCTCTCTTTCTCTTTCTCTTTCCTCTGTCTCTCTTTCCTCTTTCTCTTTCTCTCTCTCTTTCCTCCCTCTTTATCTTTCTCTCTTTCCTCTCTCTTTCTTTCCTCTCTTTCTCTTTCCTCTCTCTCTCTTTTCTTTCTCTCTCTTTCCTCTCTCTCTTCTCTCCTTCTTTCCTCTCTCTTTCCTTCTTTCCTCTTTTTCTCTTTCCTCTCCCCGTTTCTCTCTTTCTCTCTCTTTCCTCTCTCTTTCTCTCTTTCCTCTCTTTCTCTTTCTTCTCTCTCTTTCTCTCTCTCTTTCTCTGTTTCCTCCCTTTTTCTCTTTCTCTCTCTCTTTCCTCTCTCTTTTCCTCTGTTTCTCTCTCTTTCCTCTCTCTCTTTCTCTCTCTCTCTTACGGCAGCATTGCCGGGGTCCCTGCTGCCCCCAGCCCGGCCTCCGCTGTGTCCTTAGCTGAACGGGTGGGGAGGGGGAGCAGGATGGGAGGCAGTGGCTCCGGTGGTGGCAGCAGTGGCACGGCTGCATTGTTGGGGGTCCCCGCTGCCCCTGGCCCAGCCACCACCCCCGATGGGACTCCGTGCTGCCCGGCCTCGCCCTCCGCCCATCGATGGAGCTGCAGTGGGGACAGCGCCCCCCCAAGCCACCTGGGGGGGCAGCAGGAGGAAGAAGGGAAGGAGGAAGAGGAGGGCGAGGAAGCAGCCGCCCCAGCCGGGACTCCGTGCTGCCCGGCCTTGCCCTCTGCTCATCAATGGAGCCACGGTGGGGGTGGTCCCGCGCGGCCCCTGCCAGCCACTCCGCTAGCCCGGCTGCTCCCCCCAGGCACCCCTCTTGTCCCGGTGCCTGCCCGAACTGCCTGGGGGCAGCAGGAGGAAGAAGGGGAGGAGGAAGACGAGGGCAAGGAAGCCACTGCCAGCACCAGGCCCCAGGAGGAGGCTCTCCTCTCCTATCATTGCTGCATCTCCTTCTTCCTTCCCGGCAGCCTGGACTCCGGCACGCCTTCCCAGCGAGCGGGGCCAATGGTTGGGCTGGCTGGGGATTGCAGGGGCTGGTCTCCCTTGGACCATGGCTTGCAGGAGGGCTGGCCTGCTCACTGGAGCCTCCAGTAGGCCGCTCCCAGCAGGGATCCCGGGGCTTCCCCGGGAGGCTCCAAGGCCATGATGCCCTGGCCGCGCTTCTCCCAGGGGATGGGGCACCCAGGTGCAGAGCCAATCAGGAGCCCTGCAGGAGGTAAGTCCGCCTGAGAGAGAGAGAGGGAAGGGAAGCGAAAGTGCCTCTCTGTCTCTCTCTCTGCAAATGGCGGAGGAGGTCATGTGGAGATGGATGCAGAGTGGTTTCTGGGTTCCTAAGACCATCGGAAATATGTGTTTTCCGATGGTCTTAGGTGACCCCTGCGAAAGGGTCGTTCGACCCCCAAAGGGGTCACGACCCACAAGTTGAGAACCACTGCTCTAATATGTCCAACATTATCAGGATGAAAAATGGAGGGAGGCTGAGAGGTGAGGAGATTGAATGAGAAGATTAATAGGCTTCTGGAACCCTGAGCTGAATGCCATTTTTAAAATATGGATTCCTCCTACAGAAAGCCTGGCACCATTTTGAAAACAAACATGATCTACTTCAATTCAGTGGGTGTCTAGCATTTAGCCAGCTTCTCTAAATGTCATATCTGTGTTTTATTTCTGATGAGTTTCCATGGCATGAACACAGGGCTAGAAGCTTAGTTGGGAATGAGTAGGCTTGAATCTAAGAATCAATTTTGCTCACACAAATCTAAATTGATTTCAAAAACCTCCAGCTCATTGTTTTGCCCAATGCTGTTTGACCTTGACTGACATTATCAAACAGAGAACTTTTTGCAGGATCCAATCTGGGCCGATCACCGGGACTATAGGTTTAGGCTTCTGAGCTTTCGGATTCCTGCTGGAGATCATCTTCAGGGAACTTCTCTCTACCAGAAAGTACACATGACACATCCCAGTAGAGAGACGTTCCCTGAGGATCCCACAAGTCTGAAAGCTTGGAAGACTAAACCTTTGGTCCTAATGACTGACCCCACATTGGATCCTGCAACATTATCCTGGGACTCGTATATTTGCCTTCATTTGTGAGATAACTTTTTCATCACTTGATACTTTAAAATGTGAAGCTACTGGGAACTTATATATGTGGCTCTTCCAGTGCTTCATGGAGAAAATCTATGAGGTTGCTGGGAATTGAAAATGACTTCATGGCACATAATCAATCAATCATGATAATTTCATGATGATGAAATGTTGCAAGTGAGCAACCAGGCTCAGAGAGCACCAAGGACTCCAGATAGCAATTCCTTTCCACTACAAAAAAAAAAAAAAAAAAAAGGCCCTGGCCTGTATATGACATGGTTCTATGGAATTGGTACCATCACTTCATTCATTTTAGCTCTCATTCCCACCTAATTTGCTATGGAGTGTACCCATCCCTTGCAGGGGAAGGAAAATGTAACTACTACAGAGTGGGAACGGGGATCCTTCTTTAGGAAAAGAATGTGTTCACCCAGAGCTGCATGTGGCATAGAGCTTAAGCCAGCAGAGTTCAAGGATAAAAGGATGTCCTTTCTTTCTCTGAAATTCTTCTCTATATCTGCTAGGACCACAGAATTTATTTAACCATGAAATGATTGTTTTGAATGTATTCTGTCTGTTTCTTCATAGGAGTTTAGGCCAGAGTACATAATATACAAGGGACTTCTATAATTTAAGGCCTAATTTTCTTTTTTCCTGGGACAGCATTTTAGAATGTCCAAACCTTTCCAATATAAAGTCTTCATCAGGATTTGTTAAAATTGTAATTAAATAATTCCAGGTGCTTTGAGTTACGCAGAACTGGGCACGCGAATCACGAAGTCCGGAGGCCATTACATTTATATCTTGGAAACTCTAGGTCCTCTGCCTGGATTCCTGTTCCTATGGGCCGAATACTTTGCTATAAGGTAAACTTTTCCATTATAACATTCAGCAAACATGATCATGAAGAAGAAATGCTCTGAACTATTGATTTATCAAGTATAACTAATATACAAACACAAATGGAATAACCTGCAGATTTGGATACAGAAATAAAAGATGGCCCAGAAATAAAAGATTACCATACAGTGTTACATTTATGAGGCAATACATACCTTTTATAATTAGCAAAAGGATTTAATGTCCTGCCTTTATTTTGTCCTGAATCAGCTGTCCCAATTGGGTAAAAACTGGGCAGGAGCATTCACAAAGGATAGTCACATGGCATGACCATGTGATTAAAGACTTGGGGCTTCAAATGTACAGTTGCATTCACCATCTTGTCTTTTTTTACTCACCCAATCCCCTCCATCGATTTCCCTAACACCAGGTGCAGAAAATTTGTACTATGTCATAAACAACTATTAACATTAAAAATGATTAACTTAGATATGATTTCTGGACAGCCAATATTGCTATATGCTTGGTTTTGAAATTATTTCATAGATAGTATACAATTATATCTGACTGCTCCAAAAATGATTGAGAGTGAATAATTTGAGAGAAACTGAATTTTGAAGATTCATTCCCAGTATTGCTGGTATTTCTTCCGCCTTCTCTTCTTCCTTTTCATTATCATCATCACCATCAACTGCATTGCACCATGCTCTGTAACATCTTCAAGTCTCCTCAAAGAATATATTTTTTCTCTAGACCAGCCAATAGTGCCGTTGTCGCTTTAGCATTTGGACGCTATATATTGGAACCATTTTTTGCTCCTTGTCCGGCTCCACTCCTGGCTGTGAAGCTTGTTGCTCTCCTGGGCTACTGTAAGTCCCAATGGAAATCTTGACCATTTTCTTTCCCTAGCAGTGGTGAGTCATGCTGATTTTGTGTGCTTTCTCTTTCTTGCCACTCTAGACATTGTCCTCGTCTTAAATTCTTGCAGTGTCAGCTGGAGTGCCCAGCTTCAGACCATCTTATCCATCATCAAATTGGCAGCACTCTCTCTCATTATTGTCCCAGGCATGATGCTTTTAGCTCAAGGTATTTCACATTGTTGTTTTTGCCTATTAATCAACACAATGATAAAAACATAAGGAATACTTCAGAGGATTGAATGCTTTGCATGCTATGTATAAAATTTGAGAGAAATGAAGAAGAGGAAGGGTATTTTCCGAAACAGACTAGAAAGTTCTCCATAAGAAAGCCAATCATTATAGTTTATAATATGACTTACTCAACAAATGATGGTTAAAACATGGCTTATTGTAATATGTTAACCCAACCTATTTAACCCAACCCAACCTATTCATTCATTGTCTATGTTTGGCAATGGCTTGTGAGATCTCAGGCAGGCCGAGTGTCTTCTTATCTCCTGCAACACAATCCTTTTAGACAAGATAGTTGCTCTGAATCTGGGCCCATCTTTCTTACGCAAAGTATATACTATACCACCAGGTTACATGCATATATACACAATAAAACCTGAACTTTGGTACTAATCAGAATATATATTTCTGCTGTGGCTTTGTTTTGTAATTTTACTGTTTTCTTTAGGCTGTACAGGAAATTTCCAGGATGCCTTCAATACCCAAGCACTCGTTTTGGACAAACTACCTTTAGCTTTTTATGCAGGGATGTTTGCCTACTCTGGATGGTATGCATTCTTAATATATATTTTTGAAACCCTCTCATGATTTCTCACAGTCACTGAAACAGTCCTTTCTGTCTCTTGCTCCTCCCTTAATGCAGGTTTCAAACTAGTTTTGTACGAGAAGAACTAGTGAAGCCAGAACGGTGAGTTGGAAAGATGAAACTTCAGTCTTTCCCAATCTGGCCTTCTCCAGATGACTGAACTCCTCTGTTTGTGGGAAATGCTGGAGTTGCATCTGGAAGACACCAGGTTGGTGGAGAAGACTGGGCTAGAGTAACAGGCATAACACGAAACATTTTTGTGGTATAGTACTTCAAAAAGAAAACGATGAGGAGGCAGAAATGATGGAACACTGCCCGAACTAAACCATAATATTTTAATTTTTCAGTCAAATATCATAGCTCATGCTTTTGCCCTTACTGACTAGAAAACTGACAAGCCAGATTAGCTCCCTATTGTGTAGATAAAGAACAAAATGCTCATTTTTCCTTCCAGCTTTATAAAGACAAGGATCACTGGCATATTTTTTTTTTACAAGAAGAATGCTAAAACTTTAACAAAGTGGTTTAAGGATATCTCAGGGGGATGAAGAAGTTCTTCCTATGTCTTTTTGAGTCCACCCTAAGATTCTAAATTATTTATTTATTTAAAACATTTATATAGCCATCTATCTTATAACCAACTCTGGGCAACTTCCAATCAAATGTTAAAACTGCATAAAAACCATATTAAAACTCTAAAAACTAAACCCATTAAAAACAAGAACCTGGAGTCAAGTCAGATTCTGAAGTTCAGTCACCTCAACTTATCCCAGTGCTTGGAGGAAAAGCCAGGTCGTCAAAGCTTTATGGAAAGCAAGGAGAGTAGAAGCCTGTCAAACTTAACGGGAAAGTGTGTTCCATATAGGGCATGTACTACCATGGAAAAGGCACAGTTCCTGAATTCCACCAAATGGCAATATTTAGGAATAAGAATAGAATAGAATAGAATAGAATAGAATAGAATAGAATAGAATAGAATAGAATAGAATAGAATAGAATAGTTGGAAGAGACCGTGTAGGTCATCTAGTCCAACCCCCTGCCCAAACAGGAGTCCCTACTCCATTTCTGACAGATGGCAGTCCAGTCTCTTCTTGAAAGCCTCCAGTGATGAAGCCCTGATGAAGCACCTATGAGCTATAGACTTCTCAAAGAATCTTGTGGTTTCTTGATTGAAGTCATTAGTATAGGCTGTTATTAAGAACCGCATCACAGTGGCCAATTCAGTGCCTTTGAGAAACTCTTCACAAAAATATCTAAGGAGATTCTCAGTCATCCAGGTCATGGTTATCCCAAAGGTGCTTTTTCACAAGGCAACTGGACTTTCTTGTTTTTCTTTGAAGATGTTGGAAGGGACCTTGGAGGTCTTCTAGTCCAATCCCCAGCTCAGGCAGGAAACCCTATACCATTTCAGACAAATGGTTGTCCAATCTCTTCTTAAAAACTTTCAGTGTTGGAGCATTCACCACTTCTGGAGGCAGGTTGTTTCACTGATTAATTGTTCTGTCAGGAAATTTCTTGCTAGTTCTAGGTTGCTTCTCTCCTTGAAGGGACTAGAATCATGCCCACCCTATTTGACTTATTTGGATGGGTAGATGTCCTTAGGGAAAGGCAGTCATGTAGATAACTCATCTCTGTCTCATAATAGACAAGTCATTGTTTCATGCAATATTCTGTGGTTAAAACTGATTTCTTAAGAGTCCTTTACAAAGTATGTGTGTCCATTCAGAGATAAACTCTATTAAGCTGAAAGGGAAGACTTCCTTTTTGTGCATGCATATAGAATTGCAGAGGCAGTCTGGATTCATGTATGAAAAAATAATAAAAAGAAGTGAGTAATTAAAGATATATAAGATGGTTGCACTTTGCAAAGCACTCCACACTGTGGATAGGATGCAAATGCCTGAATGAGTTCTAGGAGCCAGAAAAGGATTCTGCACATGTAAAGCAAGACAATAAACAATGGATGGAAACTAATCAAGAGAGAAGCAACCTGGAATTAAGGAGAGACTTCCTTACAGTGAGAATAATGAACCAGTGAAACAGTTTGCCTTCACTGGAGATTTTTAAGAAGAGACTGGACAGCCACCTGTCTGAAATGGTATAGAATTGGACTAAAAGACCTCCAAGGTTACTTCCAGCTTTATTTTGATTGATGTGCAATCCATGTAGAACATTTCTTCTGGCTATAGGAACTGCTAGGGGTGGAACTGAATGAAGCAGCTTTGCCAAGGTGCTTTGCCCTAACTTTTGTTCAAGCAAAGCTCTATAAAACTTTGCTGTACTACAACTATAGAATCTCTAGATAAACTAGTGAGAGAACAATATTAAATATAGATCTTTACTCTCAAAACATGTAAAAGGGTTCAGCTTCCTTCATGTCATGCTTGCTTTCTGGACAAGCCAAATATACTTGAGCACTGTGTAAAAGTAACTAATTTAATTCTCATCCAGGTACAGTATTATCTTTGGCTCCCTCTAGAGGCTTGATGTTATATTTAAAACACTGATTTCTGCAGCCTCCTTAGCCAATGCATAGACATGAGAGATAAGAAATTGTTCCCAAAAATGTTTTTGAATTATAAAATTGGGTATTCTTGTAAAGTATGAAAGGCAATTAACAGCAGTGAATGACAGCAGTGATATACATTTAAAAAAGGAAAATTAATGAATTTTCATTAACAATAATTTATAAATTAATAAAATAGTACTCCCAAGGTCAAGGATAGCTGAATTAAATCTTAATTGAGATGGGGCTACGGATGTACTCATACATATCTTTATTTCCTTTTCCTTTTTTTAGAAATATCCCTCTGGCTGTGATTGTGTCTGTGATCACAGTGATTGTGGGGTATATGCTCACCAATGTTTCCTATTACACAGTACTGACCGCAGCAGATGTCCTTGTCTCTCAGGCAGTGGCTGTGGTGAGTTGAAAGTCAAGACTGTTTTTACAATCAGATTAAACTAACACACACACACACACTCACTGCACCCCTTTGGACACAGACATTCCAAAGGGTTCAATTTGCAATTGACGAAAGAGAGGTTTGGCAATTAAGTGGCAGTTAAGCACAGTTTCACAGAATAAGGCTCCCAAGAGTTTGTTTTGTCTCTGTTAAGCTTCAGAATAGCAAATAGCATGAATATTCACACAGGGGTAGGGGCTCAGATGGAGAACACGGTTATCTCTTCTTAAAAAAAAAAATCTCAAGTTCTGTTCTTAATTTTGTGTTCTATCTTATTATTTTGTAGAACTGAAAGTTCTGAAATGGGATTTGGCATGGAGCCTGAGGAATTCTGCAGGCTGAAGTCCACAATCTTAAAGTTGCCAGATTTGAACAGCTACTGAGAGATAGATAAAAATAGAGATAGAGATATAGAGATAGATCAATGCACGCACGCATACATACAAACACATAATATTTCGAGATTAGAGTATTTCCAAAGCTTTCTTAAAGACTGATGAAGCAAGCAGTAATAATATTAGAGACATAAGGAACAAACAGGTGTAAAACTAGAAATGAAAATACTGTTCAGCTGATACCCTAACAGCTCTCTGAAGGCCTCCTGGTGGTTTTGTTGGCAGCTGAGTTGATTCATGCAGTGTTTCACATATGTGAATTATAACCATGCCTTTCTCCCCCCCCCCCATCAGAGTTTTGCACGGAAAGCTTTTCACAGCCTTATCTCTGTGATTCCAATCTTGGTTTCCCTGTCTTGTTTTGGAACCATGAATGGGGGAATTTTTACATTTTCAAGGTTGGTAGCTGGCTAATTTCTAATGTTTACCTTCATATCTCATGATACCATTTCATAGTGATGTTATTACAGCTTGTGACAGACACTGATTAGAACCCAAAAGTCATAGAGGCAGGATAGAGATTGGTAATTAGGGCAGCACATTTGATACTGATACAATTTCTCCCAATTCAGTTCAGACTCTAAGCATGTGAAACTGAGTAACAGACTACAACAAGGACACTTGTTTGTTTCGGAGGCAAATTGGAAGGAAATTATCTAGAACACGGAAATGATGGACTATAAGGAATTTTGTATCCCTACATTTCCTTCTTGGGCCTTTGCTGTTAGCTGTTTTCCCCTCCCTAATTAACTTCCAGGTCCTCATTTTCACTACACAGATGTGGAAGTCAGCTGTGGAGAAAAAAGAGATGTGGGAATTTCAGGGGGGAAAGACGAGAGGAGGAGGAATGAACTCCTTGTCTCCTTCAGATGACCCATTCTAATATTTTGAAGCAAAGGAGGAGAAAATTGTGTTTTTCTTACAGATACTCCATTTTCAGATGTTGAACATTATGCTGAGCCTCAGCTTGCTTAACATGGACTGTTAAATAAATCATTGTTGGTCAAGTTCATATAAATATAAACTTAGACTTGCAAACATTAGTGGCTGGGTTGACACAGCTGATAAGCCAAAATCAACTTACATTTCAGAAGGAGGGGCAGATTTTTCCTGTTGTTTTGATTGTGTATATAACAGCCTGAATGATGGCCTTTTTGGTCCCCTCTAAAATTACTGAATGTCTTGGAAAATAGTAGCCATTTAGATAAAAGAGAAATCAGTCATTCTATAAATAGTTAATTAAATCAATACCAATAAAATAAAGCATATTTCGAAACAAGAGAAATGAGAGGTTGAGGTACTCTGCTGACTGCTTTTGCATTTAGATTTTTAAAAACATTATTTCATTTAGAGCTATCATTTCAAGGATGGCATAAAATTACCTCTATGAAATGTATTTCCAATCTACCAGGCTTCTACTAGTGAAGTTTCCTACATTTTAAGCTCTTTTACAGCTAATTTTCTACTTCTAGGACATTGTTTGTGGCTTCCAGGGAGGGGCAATGGCCCACCCTCTTCTCTATGATCCACATCCAACGCCATACCCCACTGCCAGCCGTCATGCTAATGGTATGCTTCTTTGTCTATAGTGTTGGATTCATTTCTTACTTCAGTGGTTCTGATGTGGCAAGCCTGTGACAATCATCTTTTGCTGACAATAATGCAAACAGCCTGTGTTATTGATATCCTGACCACAATAATACCAAAAGTTGTTAAAGTGTGTTGTTTTGCTTTTAAAATCATCATGATTGCCTATATTGATTATTGCTTATGATTTTGTGCCCTCAAATCAGTATTGACTCTTAGCAACTATATATTGTAGATAGGTCTTCTCCACCACTGGCCCTTCAGATTTCTAAAGTTGTTAAGTTCTGTAAATAAATAAATCCATCACTGCTGTCATCCTCTTCTCTTTTATTCTACCTTTCCCAATACTATTAAGTGTCATAAACAAAACAAAACAAAAAGGTTAAATTGCCTAGATTGTGTGGTGGCATGTCTGCATAAGTATCTTCATGCATATATATGTGGTTTACAAAAAGTTTTCAATTACTATGCTAGTCTTCTAGTTGTACCTGATGGCACTTATATGTGTTGGACTAAAACTTCCATTCACCAGTCAGTTGTATGTTCTTGTGGAGTATGAAAGGCAGTTAATAGCAGTGAAAAGCCTTTGCTAATGCGAGATTTTATGGCTTTAATTCAAGACATCCAGATGGCACCTGATTTTGCAAGATTTATCTATGTGTTCCGTCTCTGAGTGAATTTTCTACAATGCTTTTTTTTCGTGTAATGCCGGGTGTTACTCCTAAATGAAACAACCCACTTACTAGATTTTTACCTTCTAAGACTGATGGAACTAATGAATATGCTGGTGTATTGATCGTATGTTAAAATTTAAATAATCTAAAACTCATTAATTGCTTGACAGCCCACATTGGCAATAGATTTTCTATTGATGATTTATAAAATATTTCAGTGGATTTGTTCTTATTTAGTTTAAAATATTGTGCTTTGAAATTTCTTTCTGTGTTGGAATTTGACCTGTGAGCTATTGTCATTTCAAAATTAAAACATGTGCCTTAAATTTAAACTCCTTTCACAAAGCAGCAACCATCTTGCATTCTTGAAACTGTTGGCAAACCCTATAAATGATTTTGAAAGAAACAACAACATACTTTTCATGCTTTGTCCAAAGCAAATGAGCCAAGTTAGCTTTGGGTTTTTGCCTTCTTCCCATGAAAATTCTGATGGTTTAGTTTACTGTCTTTTCATTTTATTTCTTCAAGTTTCCTTTGGTCACAGCCATGATTTGTGTAGGAGACCTTTACCACCTGTTGAACTTCTTCAGCTTTTCCCGGTGGCTTTTCATAGGATTAGCCACCCTTGGGCTTATAGTTCATCGCTGCCGCCATCCTGATATATTAAGTCCATTCAAGGTATGCTTTGATAATTTGAAGTCTCTTAGGAACATAATGCTTGACCTTTTTTCATTAGCTCTGTAGAGGTGAAACAGGAGTTCTTTGGTCTAATTCCTCTCAAATATATTCAGTAAAGTGGAATTATTATTAGCTGCTTTGAGCAATTTACAAATTATTTGAAAAACAGGATAACAAAAACAAAGAAGAAAGAAGCATAGAGATGGCAGAATTACAAACTGGGTATAAACAAAAAAAAAATTATTATCAACCAATTGGCAAATTAATCTGATGGTGCTGGACAAGAGCTAGAGATGCCCTGGTTCAAACTTCTGCTTAGCCATGAAACTGACAAGGAGATCAATAACAACTTACCTATTTTAATGGAATATAAGTCCTGGGTCTTTGATAGAAGGGTGGCACACAAATGTTATTTATGAGCACTAACATAACTAGAGTTTTTACTCTGGCTTCAAGAAGTCCTAAAGTTACTTTGTTCCACCTTCCTTTTTTAGTAATTCAGAAATTCAAAATTTTTCTATACCAAAATCTTTGCAACTCTCAAAAGCACATGAAAGTGGTGAAATGTTCTTCTTACAGACATTTTAAAAAACTAATAAAAAAACTGGAATGACACTTCTGCAACTTGCATATTACTTGTACAGATCTAGGAAAAAAGAGATATGACTATGACAGATGTAAAATTGCTAGTCCCTTATAACTGTAGTTGAGAAAACAAGCTTAATCCTCTTAAAAGGCCACAAAACCCCTGTCTTGATTCACAGTTGTGCTTCTGAGAATGTGATGGTCTTCCCCATTAATCAGACAAATACCTTTGGGGGGGAGGGTGAATGGGATGCATCTCATTATCTAGACTTGACTATAGGTTTCAGTCACATCCATACAGCTTTCTTAGCAGAAGGGAATGGCCATTGTCTTTTTTTCTGGTTTGGTTTGGATTTAATAACTTCTGATTAAAAATGTATTTAAAAGCACATGTTTCTGTGAAGCAGCATACGTTTTCATAAACTGCAGCTCATAAAATCTTATGCCTTTGAATAGAATTTGTCTGTTGGAAAAGGTGCTACCCAGTCCCTGATTTGTCCAAGGCAATTTGACTAACCTGTCACCTGCAGAGTCCTACTATCCTCATTCTTGCAGTGGATTATCCTTAGCTTCTTCCCTCCCCTTTGAACTTTACCACCAGGAGATCCTACTAGAAATTTACACTCTAGCTGGAATCACTCTCAAGTTCACAGAAGCTATTGAGCTCTGCCACCGTGTCAAGACGATAATTCCCTAGAAGGATCTGTTAACCTTCAGAGATACTCCAGACAAAAATACGTAGAGTACTAACACTACCTTCATTACAAGGCTACAGTCACCGAATCTTGCAAGTCTGAAAATATATATATCTCTCTCTCACCTTTACAGTTCAAGAAACTAGGGAGGTTCAGTTGCCTTTTATTTGACCATTGCCTGCTGCTGCTGTTTTTCAAGGACATTCTCACAGATCATTACAGCTTCTATCTATGATGGAGACTTAAATTACAATACGACAAAGACCTCCTATGAAACATTTTTACCTGATAACATACCTTTCTCTCTCTCTCCCTCCCTCCCTCCCTCTCTCTCTCCAGGTTCCTCTGTTCATTCCTGTTTCCTTTACTGTCATCTGCCTTTTCACAGTGGGAATGTCTTTCTACTCAGACCCAGTTAATATCAGCATTGGATGTGCCATCGTTTTAAGTGGTCTTCCAGTTTACTTTTTGCTCATCAAACAAACAATGCCAAATTGTTGCCGTAAAACTTTCTGTGAGTGGATCATTTTGGATTATGACGTCCTTAAAATCATAGCCTATAATACTGTAAGCTGAAGTAGGAGCAACATCTCCCATGTTGCTCAGCTTCCACCTCTGATATCTCTAGGAAGCTTCACAAAATGGGTCAGGATGCTGGAGAAAGGGGCATGTTTATCATCTTTTACTAGGAGATTTTTGCATGCATTTGCCTCACCTGTAGTACCCTGTATTTGATACATAATATAGGGATCATTATATAGCTTAAGTCAATAAGCAAGCATAAAATAGTCCATCCTACATGATTAACTTTGGATAGAACTTGTTAGGCTAACCCGTGTACACAATAATACACATTTTACATTATAATTATATTATTTACATTACAAAAATAAAGTAATTACATTATTTAAAGACCAGCCCAGTCCAAGAACTACCTTCAGTTCTGGCAACTCAGCTGCAATTCCCAGCCAGCATGGCTACTGTATTTCTGAACATTTTGAAACTTGAAGTCTTGAGATCTGGAGGTGTCAAGGTTGGGACACAAAGAGTATCCAGACAAACACATTCTTGGACTGATCTGGTTCCTAAATTATGTTATTGGGCTTCTTATTGTTCAAACAGAACTTCCTCCAAACATTCTGCCCACGGTTTCACTTTTATTTATTTAATTAAACTTATAGTTGCCCACTCCAAAATTCTTTTGAAAGAATTGAGGTTCCAGACAAAAAAAAATATTTTTTCTTTAGCTTGAATTCAAACTTGAACATACATATGAGCCTTAACTAGAGAAATGTTATAGCTTGGAGTCTGACTTTATATCATGGCTGATTATCAATAAGGGCATATGATCATATATCCCCCCCCAAATGATAAAGTTCTAGGAAACCAGTAGAACAATTGCCACTGTTCAATCAGCATAGAGGGGCTTTTCTTATCTTTTAAGTTTTATTTACATTTATATTTCCTTTCTGAATTTGTAGACTGCTTTAGCCAACCAAGTCAAAAGTACTACCATTTTCATATTCTTCACTCTTTTCTTCCTGCAGGTTTTCTTACACTGAAGCTTCAGATCCTCTTGAAGGTGGTACAGCAGGAGATCAGGACATACTGACCAGTCCTTACTTTGAAATATTGACTTTGGGGAGACTTCTGTACAAGCCTGTATTTCCTATCACACCTAGAGTAGCTTTGCATGGCTGTTTCCAGTTTGGAGTTCCAACACCATATGGGATGTTCATCAGAGATCAAAGGCATAAAGAAGCTTACTATTTTTGCTTACTATTTGATTGTTTTAAAAATGTAATCTATGCTGCTCTTAGTTTTATCCTCATCTGCAATGCAGATGCACTTAGGTGCAACCAATAAATCTGATGCAGTTGCATCAGCATACCCACTCTATTTCTATGTAAAGCATGGGTAGAAAGACATTATTTGTAGATTTTGAAATACCATAAATTTTTTATAGTTATGGTATATTTTGACAAGCATTTCTGGGTTAAAGAGAATTTTGGATGCTTTTCAGCCTATGAAAAGCTTTACAAAAGACACATTTTTCAAAGATGTAAGTGCATTTGGTAGGATTCAAGATATTTTTAAACAAAACCGGTGGTGTTATAATGGGTTTCCTGCATACCAGGGTGCTGTGCTGAATCACCATGGACATTTCTTCTGACTTTGATGGTGTACATTTGGAATACAGTTTTAACAGGATTTTTCAACCACAATGACATCCCACTTTCAGTTACTGTTACTGGCACTTCAGCAAGTGTTAGTAACTAAGTGTTAGTAGCTTAAGTGTTAATTTTAAATACTTCAGTGCCATCACCTCAGTTGGGAGAAAACTATTGTTCTCTACCCATGCAAAGGAATAATGATTTTGATACAGTTGCAGTGATTAAGATCTAGCCAAACAAATAATAATAATAACAACAACAGTAGAATAATAACAACAGCAGCAGAAGCAGCAATAACAATAACAACATTAATAGTAGTAGTATAGCAGAGCCATGGTCTCATATGTTCTTCAGCATTTGCATAGTATTTTGCTTAAAATAGCAAGATTCCATTCTTTCACTAACATGTTTAAGATTGATTTGTCAGACTGAAATGCATATCTTTGTAAGATAGAGGGCAGAGCATGTTGTAAATGTTTTGTATATTAAATGGCAGCAGTGTTAATTCTTTTCAGTCCATATCTGTTTTACATGTGTTCATTCATAAATATGTACTATTTCTGCCTTAATCTGTATGTTTTTGAAAATAAGTAGAAAAATATACTCGTTTTATATGCATTTTGTCATAAAATATACATTTTGCTGTAAACTATCCAAGTTTGTTTATTGGGACTGAAAATGATGGTGTAACATTTGAAGAAGCATTAAACTGCCAGTTTGGTGTAATAGTTAGGGTATTGGTCTAGAAACCAGGACATGGTGAATCCCAGTCCTGCCTTGGGCATGAATGCTAGCTGGGAGAGTCACTCTATTTCTTAGTCCAGCCCACCTCACAAGGTTATTGTTGTGGAGAAAAATAGGAGGAGAAACTTTATATCTGTTTGCCCCCTTGAGTTATTTATAAAAAAATAATAAAGGCAGGATTTAAAAAATCTAAAAAAAATAATGGGAAGGATTTAATTTGAGAGTTTTTCACTATCAGGAAATTTCTCCTTAGTTCTAGATAGGATTTTTCATTAAGGAGCTTCCACCCATTACTTCTTATCCTGACCTCAGGTGCTTTTGAGAAAAGATTGACCCCTTCATCTTTGTGACAGCCCCTCAAGTACTGGAAGGATGGTTGTTGTTGTTGTTAGTTGCGAAGTCATGTCCGAACCATCACAACTCCATGGACAATGTTCATCCAGGTCTTCCTGTCCTCTACCATCTTCTGGAGTCCATTTAAGCTCACGCCCACTGCTTCAGTGACTCCATCCAGCCACCTCATTCTCTGTCATCCCCTTCTTCTATTGCCCTCAATCTTTCCCAGCATCAGGCTCTAATCCTTCTCTTCATTAGACTACACTACACATGTCTAGTTCCCTTAATCCAAGGTGCTTTTCCAAAAGGCAACTGGACTTTTTTCTTTTGAAAATGTTCCACTTCTCATCCAAGAAGCTTCTTCAGTTCCAACCAATTCCCTTAACTGTTCATTATACAGTGTAAGCCTCCAGACCCCTAATCACCTTTGTTGCTCTTGTCTGTATTCTGTCTAGGGACTTGGCATTTTTTTTAATATAATGTGACCTGAATTGGACACATTATTCCAAGTATTGCCTCACTAGTGCAGCATAAAGCAAACTATCACTTCATGTGATCTTGATACTATCCCTCTTTGAGCAGGCTCAATACGTATTAGTTGATTTCCAAATGTGGAGAAATTAAAATGTTCAAGGACCTTACTTACATATATTTGCATATGCCTTTAAATGCTTCTCCTAGGTCAGTGGTGGCGAACCTATGGCACGGGTGCCAGAGATGGCACTCGGAGTCCTCTCTGTGGGCACACGCGCCATCGCCCCAGCCTTGCCTCCCCCACGACCCCCTCCTCTCCAGCAGCCTCCCTGAAGGAGAGTCACCCCTGAGCATGACCCACACGGAACAGCGCAGCCAAGGACATGGCAGCCAGGCAGCATAGACAAGACTTTGCCCTCACACCCCATCGTGCACAGTTGATGCTGCAGGGCGCCAGCAGAGGGCCTGACCGCCATAGCGCTGCTAGGCTGCCTGGGCGATCTGCAGTGGGCCCTGGAGGCAGTGAGTGGCCCTGCGGGCAGGTGGGGTGGGGGATGGGGGCAGAGTGGGGGCGGGGCTAGTTTTTGGGCACTCGGTCTCTAAAAGGTTCGCCATCACTGTCCTAGGTCCTAGGAGAATTAAAATAGTTATGGTATTGTTACAGCATCTAGCTAAATTTGTTTGGTCTCAGAAACACTAAGTAGGTCTGATTTGGTAGTAACTTGAACGGAGAAATTCTAGGACATTCCATAACTATGTATATGGACAAATGTATATTTCACACAGAAATAAAAAATAACTTCTCAGAAGACAATGCTAGCAAACCACCTCCATGTTATTGCCAAGAGAACCCTATAGATGTGTCAATGTGATCATCAACTTGAGACTTTCTTTAAAGTATTTCTGCTCACTGCAATTTATACACCATTAATACATGTTATCCTATGAGGAAGCAGTTGTTTTAGTCACTCTCTATCAACTGCAGGATGAAGGTGTCTTCTGCTTCTAATCTATAGGGTCCTGAGCTTTCTTTTGCCAATTGGGCCCACAATACTTGTTGATGTTGTCGATCCATGTTGTTTTAAGTCTCTTTCATGGACGCTTTTTATCAAGTAGGATCCATTCTATGACTGCCTTGGTCCACCTGTCATCAGCTCTTCAATTAAACATAATTCATCAATGCCAAGATATTCCTTTTTTTCTTTCCTTAACTCAAGGGGGGGGGAAACAAAATGCATACATTTTTGTGCTTCCATTGCAATGTTTTTAATCAATGCTAGGAGTTCCCATGTTCCAATGACTAAACTAGAGGAAGAAACAGGATGTGATTTTAATTTATTATCAAATCTACGGTATGTAAATGTACTATGAAACTAAAGTTTAAGAGTTGTAGGAGTTTAATTTTCAATAAAATAATATATGGAAGGTTCACCAACAAAATAGGTTCTTTTTGATATTATTAATCTTCACAGCCATTAATCTTGACTCTCCAGATACTAAACTATACTGTATATTCAAAACTTGCTTTCAGCACAAACTTCAGAGATGTGACATGGTTAGATTACTACACAGTAGTTGCAATAAAGCAAGATAACTACCCCATACCTATCTATAGAATTTAAGTGAAAAATATTCTTCTTTCAGGACAAAAATTGGTTTCTATCAATTTCAATAAATCTCATTTAAAAAATTGAGTACAATTTGATATTTTGTTTCAAAGCAAGATTCCATTTCCTGAAGAGAAAAGCACTTGAACCAGTCTATGTAACATGGACTTTGACCATTTTTATTTTAATTGCTTGCTGTAATTGGCTTTTACCTGTCACTGTTCTCAGTGCCAGAGCTGAAGAGTAATAACTGGTTTAATGGTATGAGATTTTATACAGAGAATTACAGCTAATCATAGATCCAAATCCAATTGTTCTTTGTCCATTGTTAATGCTATTGGCACCATCAGAATGATTTTCAAATCAGCAGTTGTGAAACAGAAATGTATCAAGAAATGCTGATGTTAATCATGCTAAAATATAAAAGTATTATTATTATTCTTTCTTCTAAATGAACAATCTTCCTCACTGGCTCTGAATGTGTGACCCTCTGATGTTTGGGTTCAGCCTCTGGATTCAGTGTCCAAAACTTGCTGTAAATTGAACTTGATGGAGAAGAAACACAGAGAATATTAAGTGTATTTAAATGTTTAAGATCAGTGTAAATTTTGGTTCTGTGCTTGTCTCACATTTTGTTTTAAAAACTAGTCATGCTAAATGCAACTATATATTTTCCCTACTTATTTAGCTTTGAGTGGGCAAAAAGATTTCAGCTTCCCCTGGAAAAAGAAGCCAGTTGATGGCAAATCTCTCTTAGAAGAGATCATTGCATAACTGGTATGCCACAATTGTGCTGACTTTTACATCTGTTCATCTCCTTATTTTAAATAATAATAGACCAGAAACAGGAACTGAGGCCATAACAGCTACAGCTAAGTTGGAATGAGGGAATCCTACCATCTTCATGGTCGTTCCCAGCTTCATGTTCAGATTTCTTCATCGCTGAGAATATTTACTCAGAGTGCTGGGAGTTGTAGTTCAATTTTGCAGAAAACCTTAGAGATCTCCCATCCTTAATTTCGGTAATATGAACCAAGTCACTTATGACAGGAAAGAATAAAGACTAGGTTCACATAGTGAGCTCAGCTATAATGGCATTAAACACTCAGCCAGTTTATGATTCAATATAATGTACAAATGCAAACAATTGTTTATTTAGAGATCTATGATTCACTAGATTAGCATTGTGGAAACTCAACCAATATTGTGTGGAGTGGATTGTTTCAGCCTATCTATGTTCCAATTTATCTGCTAATTCCAGATATTTTTCCTTCCTTCCTTCCTTCCTTCCTTCCTTCCTTCCTTCCTTCCTTCCTTCCTTCCTTCCTTCCTTCCTTCCTTCCTTCCATCCATCCATCCATCATTGTGACTACCTCACTGTTCTTAGATTCAGTTACAACGATTTTTTTAAAAAATGTTTGAAACATTCTACCTCCTCCTCACATTCAGTATACGCACACACACACATACACCACACACACACACACACACACACACACACACACACACACTAGCTGATACAATTATGTCAATACAATGCTCCCCAATTTGAGAATGCATTTGCTATCAAGAGATTGTTAGATGTGGATCACTTTGATTGAAATTGCAGTGGTTTATATCCACTAGTTTTAGGTTATGGTTGTTAGGTACACTGCACCATAAACCAGCTAGCCACTTTTTAGCCTAGCAGATTGTTCAAATACAAGTTCTGTGGTTATTCTGAGGTACAGTGTTACTTGTGTACAGAAAAAAAATAGACAAATCAATAAGCCTGCTCCACGAATTCTGGGAATAATTATAGTTCCGTGACTATGGAGAGTTTTCTGCCAGTATCCACAAAACTATCCTCTCCTGTTCTGAGTTAATTTCCTGGTTCAGGAGGGAATAAAATAATAATGGAAGTTTGTAACATAAAGGCCGTAAAATTATTTTTTTTAAAGCCTATCCCAGTTGACTGTAACATCTGCATGAATAATAGTTTTCTATAGGCAGGAACTAGTCCAAGAAAGATCTGGGAAAGGGTTAATAGCTGGACTTTTACCTAGGAGCAGCTGACTTTCCAGTTAATTATCCCGCCCAAGAGATAATCCTGGAGGCCTGTTCTTTGTCTTCCCAGCTGAGTTAGAGAGCAGGAGCTCAGAAAAAAGTTCAGACAGAAGTCAAGGCTTGGCAGATTTTTTTGTATTTAGTCTCCGTGAAAAAGAAGAAAAAAAAGGGACACTGGGATTTTGATTATCTGCAATATGAAAGCTTTACTTTAGAATTAGGTGGAAGTGACGTCTGCCATAAAATTTTGGGAATTAGAAACTTTATAGTGAGATTTTGTTTTGTTTCCTTGTTTTCATTTTGTAGCCTTTTCTGATTGTTTTAAAACTTCCCCTCTGGCATGAATTTGATTAAGCATTGTATTTTGCTGGGCTGGTTGTAAACTTACTAGTATAGTTTGATTGCTGCAAAATTAGTTCACATAAAAAAATGGATATATACTTTTTTCCCCTTGCTGTTTCTACATGAATATTGTTGCTGGATTTATCTAGAGAATAATAAAAGACAAGAGAAGGAACTCGAAGAAAAGGTAAGTGAATAAATTGGTTCTCTTGAGGGTTTTTTTTTAACAGCAACTGTCCCCAGGCCTAGCAAAGGACAGCTGGATGGATATGATGTTGTAACCCATCAATCTGGGAACATTAAATTGAGAACGGTATTGTTTAAATATGTTCACAAGAAAGCCTCAGGGCAAAGTTTAATGTGCTGTTTGTTGAAATCCTTTGAAAGTGTTTATTTGAAATATGTATTTCCAAGGAATTGGGCAGTGGTGGGATTCAGCCAGTTTGCACCAGTTCAGCAGAACTGATAGCTAATTTTTTGTTGCACAGGCCCAGAATGGACTTTGGGAAGCAACATCCACATAGAGAACCGGTTGTTTACAAACTTGAATCCCACCACTGAACTGGGGATAATAACAGAATAACATATCCATTTAATTGGTAATGCATCTTGGCCAAACTAGAGCAACAAAAGGAAGGAACTGTATGCACACAAACATGTGCAGATATAGAGATTATGTCCAACAGATGGCGCTGTTTTTCAAAAAAGCATGTTTTACCTGTTTTTTTAAAAAGCATGTTTTTACCTGTCAGAGGTGTGATATCTATATAATATAGGTATATAAAAATACGGATGTATTCGAATGCAACATTGTGTCAAAATTTCAAAGCAATCGGTGAAGAACTTTCGGAGATTTAAGATTTTGAACAAACAAACATTTACATTTTTATTTATAATGTATATAAAATGTATATATATAAGGAAGGATAATGCATGATCAAGTTCCATATTTGCTTTAGGAAGGTGTCTAGTACTATGGCTCTATCAAGCTGTATCTTATCAAAGCAGGTTTGAGTTGGATACTGTGAAATTTCACACAATTTATTAGTATTTTCAATGCTACCTAGAAACTAATATCTAAAATGGAGGTCTTTTGAAAGCAAGTGTTTTGCTTTACAACTTTTCTCTTCTGCTCAGATCTACTTCAGATATAATTTCCCTGACTGTATTGGTCAAATCTTTTGTTGCTGTGATAGGATATGACTATCCTGAGCCTGAGTAAGATTTTTTTTTTCAGGAAAATTGGAGAAGATGGAAGAGATCAGCCCTGCATAAAGGATGGATACTTAACAATTTTGAAAACCAGTAAGAATGTTTTGAAAATTGTGGGGAAAACAAATTTAAATAAGAATGTAAACAGGATTTATGACGAGGCAATCAAGATGAACAATGAAAAGAAGTTTTATACTGATGTTATTATTATTATTTCCAGAAACATGAGAAAAATGTCTAAATTTAATTGTCATTTATTTAAATAAGAACTGTATTAATTTAAGATTGGCAAAGGAGAATATTATTGGAAGAAGAGGAAATCAAGTAAAGCTATTATATGGACTATATAATTATAGAAATTAATTATTATTGATTGTTTTTTAAACACTAACCCAGACAACATGCTGTTTACCAAATATTAAGATGTATGTTAAAAATCAATTTTATATATATATATATATATATATATATATATATATATATATATATATATGACAATTTTGAATGTAAGATTAGCTAGATTCACACACCATGTTGCAGCTAACTTGGACTGGCACCAGGAAGATGGAGCTTCAAATGCGCTTTCAGCTACTGAAACCAACTAAGGGACTTTGGACCAATCGCACTCTCTGAGCACAACCTACCTTACAGATGAGCTGTTCTGGGGGGAAGACTAGTGTAATGTATTGGCCACAACTGTTTTAAATCACTTGCTTAATGTCTGACCTACATTGCTGTATCGTTTAACAGTTGCTGTTACTGAAAGCCAGATCTGCTGTCTCCAAGCTGATAATGAGATCTTGGGTGGGAAACTGTTACTTTAAACCAGTTACTTTAAACCAGTTTGTGTGACGGGGGTCGCCGTCACACAAACGTTGAGAAGCACTGCTTTAAACCTATTGGTTGCCACCTAGAGGCTAACTGTATAAATAGCTGTGCAGGAGCCTTTAGGGCTGCTTCTGTTCTGAGTTAATAAACTTGTTTTCTGTTTCAACACTCTGCCTCATTCAATGCCTAAAGAACCGAAGATATAACAACTAGAATTCAAGCTCCTAAGGGAAGGCAGGAGAGAAATCCAATGAATAATGAAATAAAAGTGTGCTAAGCCAGGATCAAGCATACAGCCTTTACTATAGTGTTGTCGGTGCTAGTTGGTACATTTGCCATGAGATTTGGGATTAAAGTGGACATTATGCAATGACTGATGAAGTCACACTGGATGGTTCTAATGTTGCTATTTTTCTTTTATGGGTCAAGATGGGAGGCCATTCCTAGGGAGTTGGCTGCCAAACACAGACTTTGCTTCTCTGTTCTTTCTTTCTTGCAAGCCATATAGTTTGCAAGACAGCCTTGTTATGTGCTCCTGGCTACTTTCCTTCATGACCAGAGGCAAGCTCACCTGACCAATAACCAGCCAAGACACAGTGAAGGCCTTTTGTTGTGTTTATTGCAATAAGTGGGGAGAGAAGCTATCAAAGCTTGGTTTTCTCCAAAGTTTTAACCCAAAATATTTCCTTCTTTATACATCACTTATCCCGGCCGCCACATCCCTCCTCTTTCCCCGTTGGGTGAGGTACTATGAAGTTACACTCTTTCCGACCGCCTCCTACATATTTCTTGCTACATACTAAATCATACATCACATGTACATTAAAATTAGGAGATAATTCATGCAAGATGTGTCAGTTAACATTAATCAATTAATTGCGCATGTTCAGTTGACTGAATTCTGGCCCCCTTTTTATGACTTCTTAGAAAAATAGGTTCTTTCCTGTTTTGCTAGTTATCTTCTATTACAGATGTTTTCTTCTTCCTTTTCCCACTCTTAAGATCCAGCTATTTTTGCCTACATATTTCCTTTACATCCTTTCTTTATGCTAACCTCTCCTCTTTCCCACCATAGCTTCTCTACTCAGTAAATTTCGATTGCAGCAAATTCAATTTTAAATTTCTCTTTCAATATTAAATTTTGAAGACCTTTCTTTTACTTCTATCAGCCTGGTAGGGAAATGGCTACCATTATTTATTCATCACATTTCTACACAGCTCATTTCACCTAAGTGACACAGGTTACAGTAAAAATATTTGAAATAAAAGCATAAATAGGAACAAGTTAAAACAATTTTTAAAAGACAGAGTTAAGATATTAAACATTAAAAAGGTTGAGAGAACCTCATCATGATCCCAACCATCCCCAAGCTTCCCTATCACTCTTTGTTTGACCCACATGCTAATTGGCAAAACCAGGTCTTAGCGCTCTTTTGGAAGGCTAGAAGAGCGGGGCCCTGCTCATGTCTGGGGGGGGGGTACACAGAGGGCAGGGTTGCTACACAGAAGAACCTAACTGGAGGACAGTGAATGTCTACCTCTTTGTCTCAGAGTAAAATGTGAATTGATTGATTTCCCTCCTTTGTTTTTACATGCTTGCTGACATGCCTGATTTTTTTCCCCCAGAAGATGCCTGGGGCTAGAATTCATATCTGACTCTCCTAGCAAATGCCAGTGGTCATGCTGTTTGACTCCATTGTCAGAGTAGAGTTTATCTGGTATTGGCTGGATGGAAATGGCAAGTGGATTGAGTATGGCCAAAAGGTAAACTTTTATCTCCTCTGAATCAGACCTAGGTTGCTGTTGTTGCTGCTTCAAAGAGCTTCAATTTTGCTACACAGATTTATTAGCTGGGTTCACACATGGCAGTAAATTATAACGTAAAGCAATTTCTTTGTCTTTGGCTTAGTGTGCTGCACACTTTGTGACTTGAGACACTGTGAGCTCAGCTATTAATATTTATAACAGCTTATTAAATCATGATAAAGCAAACTATTGCTGAATGTGATATTTGAACCTGATTGTTTTCTGCTGCTCTAGGCATCTGGGCCCATGAACATTGCTTGTCTCTGCTTTAGAGGATGGATGGTAGAGCTAATACAGGTAGTCCTCAGCTTACAACAGTCCATTTAGTGACCATTCAAAGTTACAACAGCACTGAAAAAACTGACTTATGACCATTTTTCACACTTATGACTGTTGCAGCATCCTGATGGTCACATGGTCAAAATTCAGATGCTTGGCAACTGACTTATTTATGATGGCTGCAGTGTGCAGGGTCATGCGATCCCCTTTTGCAACCTTGTGACAAGCAAAGTCAATAGGGGAGCCAGGTTCACTTGTCACTTAAGTGTTAAGATTCACTTAACAACCAAGCTCCTAACTTAACAGCTGCAGTGATTCACTTAACAGCTGTGGCAAAGACGTTTATAAAATGGGCAAAATTCATTTAACAACTGTCTCACTTGGCAACATAAATTTTGGGCTCAATTGTGGTCGTAAATCAAGGACTATCTATACAGATGGATAGTTTAGTGGTCACAGTTGGGACCAGAAATTCAGTTGTTAAGTGAATTGATCTCAAAGCGAAACCACAACTGTGCTTATGATCATACTTCAACTTCTCTTTGCTTTGTAGACCTGGAAAAGTTGTAAATGTGAGCATTGGTGGTGAAATTAGTTCTTCATCACCATCATAACTGAAAGAGTTGATAAGCAAGGACTACTGTAATGTAACATCCTGTTTCGTGATTTGCTTTCCAATGGGTTTGAACACAATGACCAAAATTAAATTATCCATTTCCCTTTCTTTCCCTTTGGTCTCCGTTTTCCTACTGTATTTTTTCCTTTCTGTTTTGCAGGATTCTGGGCACTGTGTTTCCTCAATATCATCCTCTGAGTTAGAAGTTATTTTCCTAACTGACTACAGAGGAGTTGTATTTTTCCAGGCTGGGACTCAGCTGTATTCATTAAATTTTCAAGGTATTTTTTTTTTTAGCAATAATAGCTTGGTATGTGAAAATGACTGCTAACTGGGATGCCCATGTGAATATATATCAAAGAAGTCAAGATGGTAGCTGCAACTCATATGATGAGGATTTCTTTTTCAGGGATGGAACTTTGTTCACACTATTGAGGCTACCATTTTGATTTTTTAAAACTCCCCCTGCAGCCATTCCCAACATTCATTGCTAATATGAATTAGCCTAATTTATTCAAACTGTCACATGAAAAAATATATGCAAACAGGCAAAACAATTACCATTTAAGATTGCTGAATAGTACTGTGGGTTTAAAAAACATCCTGAACAAGTATCTACTGTTGCCAATAATAGGCATTTTCTTGATAGATCATTAATTTAACAAATTTAATAATTAAATATTTTGTTCATCCAGAGTCCTCGTGGTATAATTTGTCTCTTCTTGATAATATTTTAAATTTAAAGATTAAATTTCCATGAGACTGATCTGATTTGAAATTTTGGTATCTTACCTTATTTTTAAATATTACTAAACCCAACATTGCCAATTGTGGAATAGCACAGTGTTTTTTAGGAAGTGAAAATGGGTGTTCCTCTTCCTCTTTGGAAGTCTTTTGATTTCCAATCAGAAGGGCTTCCCTCTATTATATTGATAATCAAATGTAAATCTGATCAAGTGCACCAAATATAGTCCCTCAGTATACATAAAATACTCTTTTTTTGTGGCTTTTCTGCACAGTCCACATAGCTTTATTGACAACAGCAGCCCAAGGGTAGCAGCCTACAATGCCTTGTATTTAAGTTAAATTGATAAGTGAATTAATTCTTAGCATAGATGAGTTATTTGACAGTGTGTATTGCTTTTTCCTTCAAGAGATGGTTCAGAGAAATGTGTACTACGGAACACAGAGGAAAGTCTGCAGATGGCCTCGACTTGTATTTTTTGGAGGTAGACGCAAAAGTGAGAAGAGGTAATTAATATTTTTTACAAAATCATTTACAGGTACTCCTCGACTTACAACCACAATTGAGTCAAATCAAATCAATTTATTATTACAGCCGAAGGCCAACACATAAATTAAACATACAAATAAAACAAAACTAAACAGAACCAACACAAGAAGACACAGCAATATATTACCATTAATGATGTAATCAATGGGTGACCAAGGTCTGCCTAGTTTTACAGACAGTATAAAAAAACTAGCTAGCATCAGAAAAACTGAATCATATTGACCTGTCAATAAAAATACATTGACTATAGTCTAATGCTGGATAAAAACACGTAATAAAATTGTTTATAAAAGATTATTAAAATGTTTATTTAAGGATGAGCAGGCAGTGATCACAGCGCAGGTGGCTAGATTCTGCGCAGCAGCACTGGGGATTCACCATAATTGAGTCCAAAATTTCTGTTGCTAAGTGAGATAGTTGTTAAGTGAGTTTTGCCCCATTTGTGACCATAGTTGCCAGAGTTGTTAAGTGAATCACTGCAATTGTTAAGTTAGTAACACAACTGTAAAGTGAATCTGACTTCTCAATTGACTTTGCTTGTCAGAAGGTCACAAAAGGTGACCATGACCCCAGGATGTGCAACCATATGAACCAGTTGCCAAGCATCCAAATTTTGATCACGTGATGTAAAAATCCCTCCCCCTTCTCCCGGTTTCAGTTCTGCTACTTCAGTAATTTCACAGTGACGCTAGCCACAGTCCCTGTGGCCTTTGGGCAGGCGGTATCATCATACTCCAGACCTCTGTTTAAAACCACATAATATTGTGGGAAGAAAAAATAGCAATTATTTTAATAGGAAAATGAAGAAAGTCATTTCAGCCATTTAAAGCAAAAGGTCTGTGGAATAGAAATCTCTGTTGCATTAATCCAAACAAATAAACAGCAACTGGATTTGTACATTTTGCTAATTAATATATTATTTAAACCAGTGATTCTCAACTTTTTCTTCACCATGGTCCCCCTTTAAATTCCTTTTGTGGTCACTGACCATGGCCATGGACCCTCAAGACTTAACTCAAAATTTAAATTGTAACATTTCTTGAAGCCTTCATGGGGTCCCTGTGATGACATTGCGGCTCCCCTGGTGTCCACAGACCACAGCTTAGAACTACTGATTTAAACCATGGTTTTGTTGGCCTGATTCACACTCATTTTATCATAAACTTCCAAATCAAACTAGTGGATTCACATCTCACGCTAAGCTAAAAACCTAATGTGTCAATGCAGTACATAAACCCTCCCGTTAAACGAATGAAGCTCAGTATTTCTCAGTAATGCTTAGGTCTCATAAGAAATATTCCGCTGAAATGCATTTGTAACCTTGTCCTAGAGTTGTGCTATAGCTGTGCTTGAGTCCAATTTCTGTTTTCAAGTAGGGTCCCTAAATACAATAGATTCCTGCAGTTTGCTGAAACTTGAATCATGTTTATATTCGGCTTCCACTTCCAAGGTATGCTTCCCAATGATTTTGTTGGAAGTGTGATTCTCAGCCAATCTGACCATAAGGAGCTCTGAGATATAGATACTTTGGGGAATTAAGCCTGTTCTCTGGCTCTGCTCCTGTAAACTGTGGTCAAATGGGTGCTAGGCCTATCCTTATCATATATTTCTTTAAATACATCTTTTTGTTACAGTTATAAAATCTGCTTCATTGCTCATGGCTTAGGCTCAATTCCCAGTCTTGGGACACTATTATACACAAAATCTCCTCTCCATCATTTTACCCCTTTACTAATCCTGGATTTGATGAAATAAAAGTGATGAGATTAGGGATAGCTTTCCAGTTCTAATAGCTTTCAATAACTTGCAAAAGGGCAAATACAGTTGGAAAAATTAGTTCGGGAAACTAACACAGGTTTTCTTGACCTGGTATCCTTCAGAGAGTAAGACTGCTGTTTCCATCATTTCCAGCACAATAACTATTTTAGCCAAAAACCTGCAGAGATTATCAAATTGGGGAAGTCTGCTCTAAAATAGAGAAAATTGGAAATTAAATGAGATTTGTCTATAACAGGAATCCTCTTTGTTTATTTACCATTTGCAGCTGCCGTTTTGAATCTTCTTTTCCCTTCCACTTGTTTCCTTCAAACTGGGATCAGTCAGCCCTTCCTGACATAGGATATAAGGTATTCTGTTTTATCTGACCATAGCAACAACCTCTGTTTCTGCCCTCATTAAAAAATACCTTCCATGTGCAGTTGGGGAACTTCTTTCCCTTTTTCTTTCTCTGTCCACCCCAAACTTGGTACATTCTTCCAGGTTTATGCCACCCTACTTGCTAGAACTTTGTCCAAAGTCCATAGGGGCTCAAATGCATTCAGAGTTTGCTGGGAACCAACATTTCCCTTTGTTCCTGGCCATTTGACTATTGCTGTAATGTTGACAGAGGTCATTCTTTACAACATTTCTAGGGAAAGATATTAGCCAAGAAAAATACTGTTTGGTGGTATGATTGGTTCGTAAGCTTCTCCAAAAGCCCTGGTGGCACAGTGGTTAAAGTGCAGTACTGCAGGCAAACTCTGCTTATAGCCTGGAGTTCGATCCCGACAGGACTCAAGGTTGATATAGCCTTCCATTCTTCTGTGGTCAGTGAAATGAGGACCCAAATTGTTAGGGGCAATATGTAAATAATGCTTCTTCATTGGAAACTGCCCAGAAAATACTGCAAAGTGCCATGGGATAGTATATAAGTCTAAAAGAGCCGAGGTGGTGCAGCAGTTAGAGTGCAGTACTGCAGGCCACTTTAGCTGACTGTGTTCAGCAGGTCAGCGGTTCAAATCTCACCGGCTCAAGGTTGATTCAGCCTTCCATCCTTCCGAGGTAGGTAAAATGAGGACCCAGATTGTTGGGGGCAATGTAAATATATATATATATATATACATTGCTTATTGGTGTACACCGCTTAGAGAGTGCTTGCACTTAAAGCAGTATATAAGTCTCATAAATAAATAAATAAATAAATAAATAAATAATTGCTATTGCTATTGCTATTCCCTATGCCCCTGTAAGTGCACATAGTTTGAAATAATCCACCATTTCTTCTGAAATTAGGTTTTAGGTAATTTGAAAGATACTTCTGTTTTTTGTGAACATCAGACAGAATTAAATGTGAAATAGCTCTCTGGCAAATAGTGATATGTGAATAGTTTTACTGAGGTTACCCCATCATGTCCCTTGGCAATATTCTATTTAAACTTTCATGGTAAAATCTGTACAGAAGAATCTATCAAGCAGGGTATACTCAGCAGCATTAAAAATAATCTTGAGTACTGAAATATTGCTGGATGGCAATTCTATAATCCTTAACATTTGGGTATGTTAAGAGCTGAAGTCAATATCTGAGGGTCAAAGGTTGGAATGGGATGATTTACTGTAAGTTATTTATTCATGCCTCCTGCTAAACCATGGCTTGTTTCTAATTATGGTCATTTAGCATGATGACTTTGTTCATATGTAATGCTTAACTGTAAATCAAGGTTGAATAATTTATTAGAGGGATTAAAGTCATAGTAAATGGAACAATGATGCACTGTGTTTAAGACTTTTTTATGTACATGGTGAAGCCATAGTTTATAAAGTAGAGTGGTTAGGTTCGTTCATTGTGAAAAAGATGTTACAACTACTTAGTCCAATGTGTAAACCCAACTATATTTATTTTTAAAGAAATTTATTCTGCTCTTAATTTATTTCATCTGCATGGATTATATTATGAGTCCCTATTTTGATATAGAAAGAATGAAAACTTTTGATAGATTAAAAGCAACTAAAAAATTCATTCACAATAGCTCTGATCTTGTTCCTAGCTGATAGAGATCTCTGATTCTTCAGAAGAATATCATGAAATCAAGATACTTTTTGAGAAGACAATGCAAGATTACGTTATACATAGACTTCAAAGAATTCAGAATCCTTCTCTCTGGCAGGTCTTTCAGTGGTTTGTACTAAATTTTAATTTTCTTCCTGGAGAGTCAAAATCATGATAAAATAATTGGATCTAGTATCTGGAGCTTATGTTGTGTATTGAGTATTAGTACAGTTGTGAATGTATATTTTGTAATCATATATCATGTTTATCTGGCTATGAATAGGCTGTGGCCTATAAACAATATGTAGAAAGGGACCCTGTATGTTATTTAAGTCAGACTTTTCTAATCTGTGTCCTTTAAAGTTCTTGAGACTGCATCTTGCAGAATTTATTTTGCACAGACTCATAATTCTGGGAATTGCCATCTTTAGTACCCCTAGGAAATCTGGAAGCATCAGCTGTAAATTTTGATCTACTCCCATTTTGACTTAGATCATGGTCGCCATACTGCAGCTCTGTAGAATTCTAGCACAGCTTCAATATGCTAGAGATTGAATTACATCATTTATGTATATCATAGCTTAATGATAGCTTAGCTTAATAGATCAGGGAAAATTAATTTAATACTTTGTTTGGAAAAGCTACATTAAATTGGGATAATAAATGTGTAAAGTGTTCTTAGATCCTTTTGCTGTATGTCTTCCAAGTTGGAAGAGAGAAGTGATTTAAATTCTTTTTGACGTCAAGCATAACTTGAAGTAGTATGTTTCTAGGCAAAAAGAGCAGATGAAGAAGTTGAATAGAGGAAAGGAAATTGATGAACGGCTCTTGTTTCATGGCACTAACACATCTCACCTGTATGACATCTGTGGGCAAAACTTTGACTGGAGAATTTGTGGCACGCATGGAACACTATATGGAAAAGGTACTAATGAGTTGGGAAGAAGTAGTGCATTCTGGAAGAGCTAAGTGTTTCCTACCTTGACAGCTAGAATTCACATAATTTGCAAGATTTGAAGATATATGAGTTTCAGCATCTTCAAATATTGTTTTTCTATCCATTCCCCCAAGTTTTTGCATTTATGTCCTGACTTTTATCTGAGAGCTGAAATCTGAGTATGTGGAAAGCCTCCTCTAATTTTATTCCCACAGCAGCTCTGTTCATCTGAAAGGTAGTTGCTGGACCTAAATCACTGAAAAAAACCTCTTAGTCCAGTGGAGGTTTGAACTTGGGCCTCTGCTGTCCAAGTCCTTAACCATTACACAACTACACTGACTTTCAATTACTTGGCATATCATGCTATCGTACAAGTTCAGATGAGAGACATATAGTTGCAGTTTTGAATGCTTTGGTTCAGTGTGCCACGTAATCATTTTCCCATATATGCACACTCAGACTATCTCTGTGACACACACTGAACCTACTAATACATTCCTATTGTATAAAAATTGTGTTATTTGGACTACGTAAGCAGAGGTCTTACTTTTGAACATTGGAAGTAAAAGATAGTCATGGGAAACATGGGTGAATGTGTTATTATAACGGGGCTGGGAAACTGATGACCTCTAGTGTTGCTGAATCTGAGTATTCAGTAGTCCCAGCCACCACAGCCAAAGGGATGTTAAGAGTTGTAGTTTAGTAATATTTAAAACCTTAAACAATATATAGCAAATTTATTTTGAAAGGAGGTTTTTTCCCTTTTTTTCTTTACAAAGAATTTGATTTGTTTTCTTGTAGGAAGCTATTTTGCCAGAGATGCCTGTTACTCCCACGCGTACTGCAAGTCGAAAAGTCAAACAAAGGCCATGTTTGTAGCTAGAGTTCTGGTTGGAGACTATGCCCAAGGAAAAGCTTCTTATGTCCGCCCTCCTCCTAGACCTAACCAATCGAATGGCTTCTATGATAGCTGTGTGGACGATGTTCTGAATCCTTCTATTTTTGTCATCTTTGAGAAGTATCAGATTTATCCAGCCTATATTGTTGAGTATGAGGAACTATCCCATTGTGCGATCATGTAAAGGCAGCAATTCTTTGGTTGTTGTTTTTTCATGGCTTTTCATTTTTTTATATGTATATATAAATTTAAAATATTTCTTATTTTAAAAGATGTCTGTGATTCTTTATTTCCATCTCTTGGAGGTAAAAGAAAGAAGGCAAACCCTCTTTTGAATACTTTGCTCAGTGATTTTATCATTACTGGAAACATTTATTATGACATAAGTGAAATAAGTGAAACTGGGGCTTCTTGTTTTCATAAAACCTTCATAAGCATGCAAAATGTGTATAAACCGATGGGGGCTGTGTGTACAAACAAATATGCATACAAACATTTATGTTGTTGTTGTTAATTGCGAAGTCGTGTCCGACCCATCGCGACCCCATGGACAACGTTCCTCCAGGTTTTCCTGTCCTCTACCATCTTCTGGAGTCCATTTAAGTTCACACCTACTGCTTCAGTAACTCCATCCAGCCATCTCATTCTCTGTCATCCCCTTCTTCTATTGCCCTCAATCTTTCCCAGCATTAGGCCCTTTTCCAGTGAGTCCTTCCTTCTCATTAGGTGGCCAAAGTACTTGAGTTTCAACTTCAGGATCTGGCCTTCTAAAGAGCAGTCGGGGTTGATCTCTTCTAGGACTGACCGGTTTGAACGCCTTGCAGTCCAAGGGACTCGCAGGAGTCTTCTCCAGCACCATAGTTCAAAGGCCTCAATTCTTTGGCGCTCAGCCTTTCTTATGGTCCAACTTTCACAGCCATACATTGCAACTGGGAAAACCATGGCCTGGACTATACGCACTTTTGTTGGCAGGGTGATGTCTCTGCTTTTTAGTATGCTGTCTAGGTTTGCCATAGCTTTCCTCCCCAGGAGCAAGCGTCTTTTAATTTCTTGGCTGCAGTCCCCCAAACATTTATAGGTCCTTTCATTTAAGAGGCTGAAGTCTCAGTCCTTTAATCATGAAATAATAGCACAGCTATACCTTTTTATGGTGCATAGCAAAATGAATGCTTTCTGAATAGGAATCAGATCTTCTCCATAATCCAACCAATCAGTGCAACCATGATATCCCTTGTGGAGTTCTTTTTGAAAATGCCTGCTATACGGTGACTACTTGTTAAGAAATGGAGAGCTGTTTCACTTGGCTAACGGTAGAGGGCAGCAGGAGGATAAATAAAAGATTAAACAACTCTTCTGTGAAATCTCAGGAGGTTTGGTAATTTTTATATGATTGTGGAATACTAGTCTGGATTAATGCAGTTTAGAAAATATTAGGGTAGCAGATCTGGCTTGCAGAAATCAATCTTAGCACTTTCCTATAATCTAACGATGCTCCCAATTTTTGCAGCTCAGAAAAAGATGCACTTGAGAAGAAGGAGCAGGAGGTATGGAGAACCATAAAGAAAGATGTTTTAAACATGGCTTGGCTTATACTATATCTTGCATAAAAATAACCCATAAATATTTAGGATATCTTCCACTCACTTCCTGTTAAGGGATGTTGTATTTCATTGTTTCTCAACCTTGGCTATCTGAAGATGTGTGGACTTCCATTCCCAGAATTCCCCAGCCAGTCCACACATCTTCAAACTGGCTGAGGTTGAGAAACACTGTTGTATTCCACAGAAAGCTCATTTTCTTTAATCATTGGCCCATTAAAATATCATGCATGAAATGATTGAATTTAAATCAACTTGAAAGTTACTTAATAGCTGTAGCATGAAAATGATTATAGGTTTCTAAGTAATGCTGAAGCATAATTCTCAGTATTCCTCAGCTTTGGGAGCTGGTTGAGGGCTGTGAATGACTTGTAATCCAGCAACATCTGGAGAACCAGAAGGCATGTACTTTTCTTCAAGGAATTGGTTCATATGGCAAGAGGACACATTTTCAAGACAATGCTTTGCTGTTTTAAGTTCATTGTAGAAATGAGCAGAATGGGGGGATTTAAATTCAGAATGTTGGATGGTCTGTTGCTATTTTGGAGGGCAAAATTCAGCTATATAACGAGGATTTAGTGTCAATAACGTAGAGTTACTGCACTTCCTACAATAATGCAAGGAAAGCTAGATTGCAATTTTTTTTTTTACTGTATTGGCCACTTTATAAGGGGAGGTGGAGAAGTTAAAGCCTCCCTTTTTGAGAAAACCTAAGGGACTGACATTAGGAGTCAAGTGGGAGGTGTCTCCCTGCCATAATTAAACATGGCATGATAAAAGGGTTTGATACACAAGTTAGAGACTGCACAAAATATTGCATATATCAGTCTTGGTGTTTCTCAGCTTTACAACTTTAAGCTTTGTGGGCTTCTAGAATTCCTCAGCTAGCATGCTGCCTGGGGAATTCCGGAACTCCACGCAGCTTAAATTTGTCAAAGTTGAGAAACACTTTTTTAATTGCTGTGTTTCTAGTCATGTATCTAACTTCCTGCAGGAGTCTAAATGGAATTTCCTTTCTTCCTACTTTCTTTTGCCGAGTTGTCTCTTAATGTTCCAGGTAAGTGCAGAGAAAACTTATTCTTTATCAGATTATTTTCTGAGAGGTGAGGGATATCATCCTTGCCATGAATGGCATACCAGTAACTCACACTTGATTTTTTTAAACCATCCCCCCAATGGTTTCTTGACCATTGGTCACCGTTCATCATGAGAACAACTGACAGTTGGCCTGTCACTGGGAACTGAGTGAAAATCATAGCTTTAGAGGACAATTTTGGAAGCTCAATATAGAATTGAGAAACTGGAACACTCACTCCATTTTAACTTTCTACTTTTTTTAGTTAATAACCTATTGCAATGCATATAGTTTTGCCACATATTACCAGCTTCCAGGTGGTAAATTGGAAAATTGCCCTCATACAATTTATATTTTCATTATCACCTTGTAACCCTTAAATAAAGGAGGGGAAGAATATTTCTGACAATTCACTAGAGAGCTGATGTGACTCTCAAGCCATGTTGCTAAAGCTAAGCAAAGATCCGAGCGAAGATCAGTTTATGGATGAGAACAGGTCTACCTTTTTCAAGCTCATTGCTTGAAAGGCAAGATGTAAACCAGGAATGGGCACATTTGAAACTCTGAGAGCAAGTAAGAGGCACTTTCCTAAAATGCTCACTAAAAAGGCTTGCATAGTTATTAGAAGATTGTTACTTTAGGCCTTCTAGCCATCAAACATCCATTTATCAGCAAAAATATCCCATTCCTTCTGGCCATCAAGAGGCTGCTTAATACCCATTCCAAATAAAGCCCAGAGCTGCAAACACAAGTTGTATTTTCTAAGGATGTCAATAGAGCAAATAAAGATGATTCTAGAAACTGACCCTTTGAAGCATTGCAGCTTTCTATTTGGTTTTCTTTTAATTAAAAGAATCTAGAAAAGAAATGGGACAGGAAATCCTATACCAAGAGAGATGTTTCAGCAGCCTTCCCCAAACTTTTATGTTCTCCAGATGCATGGACATCAAAGTTTGGTTACAGTAGGCATTGACAAAATTAAAACTGAGGCTAATACAGAGCCTTCCCTGCATATGTAGCAACTGTCTTACACAATAGGGCTATGCAGACTTTTGGAGCCTTTACTTCGACAATGGCTCAAAGCTGCTTCAGAAAACAATGCCATCCCCTCACTTCTAAGAGCCAAGCCAATCATCTGCATTGTTCCCCTTTGCATCTTTTCTGAGATCTTCTCTGAAAGGAAATTTTGCAGTGTATTAGTCCAATAGTAACCCCAATCCAAAGAAAGCTGTGGAAATGAGCTGTGACTTGGGTTGGTTTTCTTTCCAGTACATTTGTAGGAAGCTCAATTTTGAACAATAGAATTATACAAGTAAAAAATAATTTGTTTTATAATATATGGACTTCTGTCAATAGAACTACTATATGTGAAAAGATCTACTTTTTGGCTAAGGCTTTAAAATACCACCATTTATTCTAAACTGTAAACTCAGCAAGTAAGTTCTAAGTTTTCATGTCTGGATATGTGAATTTTAAATTTTACAGATGACTTAATGGAATACTTGGAAATGAGAAAACTGGTTTGTTCTGTACTACTAGACAGAAGAAGAAAATTTCAAACAGCAGTATGTCAAACACATCTTTAATTTCATTAAAAAAACCTCTGCTCCTCTATCTATTAGCCAATCTGCTATATGCTATGTTAGATCTGGGACAGAAAAAAATGTTTGCCTTTGAATTTGAATGGACGTTGCAATTCTGAAACAAGGCCAGGATTTTTTTAAAAAATTATATTCCCTGAAACTCTATCTCTTTCAATCCCTTTTCTAAATTGTTGCCAAATTGTAATATTTAAAGTGTTAGATGTATGCGTTAGATATGGAGGTTGTAACTGTAATTTAATTTAAATAATACATTTACATGTTTCATTTATTTTTTTATAGTATGGAACTGATTTGAACCTCAAATCCCTTAGGCTGTGCATTGGATTACACCACATCTCTTTTTCAGAATACAGAGTTGAAAGTTGGAAGTCCAACTCCCTGCTCTATACCATTTCAGACAAATGGCTGTCCAATCTCTTCTTAAAAACATTCACAACTTCTGTGAGGCAGGTTATTCCACTGATTAATTGTTCTAACTGTCAGGAAATTCCTCCTTAGTTCTAGATTGCTTTTCTCCTTGTTAGTTTCCATCCATTGCTTCTTGTCCTGTCTTCAGGTGCTTTGGAAAATAGCTTGATTCCCTCTTCTCTGTGACAACTCCTGAGATATTGGAACACTGCTATCATGTCCCCCCTCATCCTTCTCTTTGTTAAACTAGACATACCCAATTCCAGCAGCCTTTCCTTATGTGCTTTAGCCTTCAGTCCCCTAATCATCTTTGTCATCATCCTCTTTGGATGATGAACTTCAAACAAGACTCCCAACTTTTGAATCCTTCCAAGCACACTTCATTTTGGCTTCTCTGCTTGATTGTAGCCAATTGAAGAATTACTTTGAAATAGGCATCTCACTTTTTCAGTGTTGATCCTAAACCAAGAACACTTATTTTTCATTTAAGCCATGGGAACACACCATTTTGTATTTTGTATTGCTTACAATAGCCAACTGGGTTTATTTTGTGTTTTTTGCTGAATTGGGATATATATTGCATGCCTCTGGAACTAGTGGATGACTCAAGAGGTTAGGTTAGTCTTTCACAGCCTAACGCCTTCTAGATGTGTTAGAGCTATAATTCAATAATGGCAGAGAATTCTAACAAATGTTCACACCTATTGCTGTAGGTTGGTAATTTTAGACATTGCAGTTAATCTTATGCAGATTTTCCTTTGGATAGCTATGTGCAGGGTTTTTTTTTTTGTTTTTTTGTAATGTGTAATATAACATTCTATTTTCCCCATCCCCTCGCTGTATTTTCATGTTTTACAAAGCAGATGTTTGACACTGACTTCATCAGTTGTTACTCTTTGTCTCACAGCACTGAGATTTCTCTCTCTAGGTTCAGCCTTTGCTGGGATAGATTGGGAAAGGTGTTTTTAGATCAGTGTTTTTCAACTTTGGCAACTTTAAGATGTGTGAACTTCAACCCCAGAATCCCCCAGCCAACCAGCCCATGTGTTGTGTTGCTTGGATTGGCAGTATTGGCAACATCGTATCCAATGCCCAAGATCTCAAAAAAATAAAATGGAATGATAAATCCCAAATCTTTAAAAATTCCCACAACTTATGAGTAAGTGGCTCATTGAAATGTATCAGACTTTATGAGGGCTTGGCATTTGCCTGATGAACAAAGGATGGCATTAGCCAATATATTCTTTTCATCTCTCCAACAGCAAAATAGCATTCTGCATATGCCATTTGGTAAATCAAGATGAAGTTGTATCACAACATGCTGATTGTCCCCAGTTCCACAATGTCTATAGTAAAAAAAAAAGTTGCCCCTTTATAAGTTTGGGAATTGACTGTCCTCTTGGGAATGGGGTCTCCTGGCTTAATTTGCTTTAAATCTTCAACAAAAAACAGGACTGGATTCACAAGGTTTCTTTGGACAAATTAGAGGACCAATTTTACTATCATTCCCATTTTGAGCCTTTTGCATCTCAGTGCAGATTTGTCAGCTGGTATCCATTTGAAAGCCAAATGGGTAAAGTTTTGGAAGAAAGTCTCAGGCAAAGTATATATTCACCCCAAGACAATTATTGTTTTTCTAGTTGTGGTTTCAGATAAAAGCAGAATGTCCAGCTGCTAAAAGACTATCATGTTCTAAATGGAATGTAGACACATCTAGCTTTGGATAGTGGCCTTGACTATTTGTTTAATGTCTTCTCCCTCTCCAGCTTTTTGATGAATGCATACAGAGGTTAAACTGCAGCACATTTTGTACAGCACAGAGTGTTACATTTTACTCCTACTGGATTTATTGGCAAGGTCCCACTAACCTTACTGGAGCAGGATTAAAATTTTACATCCCAGTCAAGGATACGTAAGGATGCTGCTGAAATTGCCCTTCTGTGCATGAGTGCCATGCCTTTTCTAATGCAAACTGTAACTGTGGAATGAGAATGGCAGCACAGATAGCCCTCAACTTACAATGGCAATTGGACCTGGAATTTCCAATGCTAAGCAATGCAATCATAAAGTGGAACTGCATTGCTTAGTGATAGCAATCTCTGAAGACCCGGTTGCCTTTGTCAATTGAATCTTACAATCATTGGGTAAGGGAATCAAAGTCAGTGGGGAAGCTGCCAAGAAGATGCAAGTCCCAGGCCTACAGGCTGATAAATGGCTGCTGCTGGGTGAGGGAGAGAGTGAAGGGGTGAGTGGGGGTGTGGAGGATGATTTGGAAGGGTACAGCATAACATGGGAGGGGTGAGCAGGGATATGAGAGATGCCACGTGGATTGGAGAAGGTACATAAGAGTGGATGGGATAAACAAGAGGAGCCACATGGGCTGGGGAGGGGGAGTCTGGGCGCACCAGAGGCTGGCATGGTGCAAACATAGAGGGACTGGGGGATGGTGTGCAGGTAGGGATGTTTATTCTAGCAACCTGCAATGTTCCCTACCAGCTTCACCTTTGACTTCCTGGGGAAATTGGTATGGAAGGTAGCAATGGTGAGCATGTGGCTGCAGTGTGCTTGGCAACCAATCAAAAGTGCAGTTTGCCGAGTACTCAGATTGTGATCACGTGGGGGTGCTGGGACAGGCAGAACTCCAAGGATCAGTCATAACCACCAATCACTCAGTGTCCTTGTAATGTCAAATGGTTACTAAAAGGTCGTTGAGGTCTACTTGTAGTCTTACTTTGAATTGTTTGAAGTATTCACTTAGATCTACAAAATGTTCACTTGGATTTACTCAGTGAATAGAACGGCTTTAAATTCTTCTGTGTCTCAGATTTTGAGTTCCTCTCTCCTTCTATTTACAGCATAGAGTGGAACATCAAGAAACTGTTGGAAGTGAAGGCAGATATTCCTTCTTGTTATCTCCCCATTCTCTATTGCAGCCAGTGGTCTCTGGGAATTATGAAAGGTGCAGTCTAGCACATCTGGCAGTAGCATTTTCAGGGAGCTATTTTTTTGGGGGGGGACACAATGTGATTATTCACGCAAATACTGTAATAGGAATGAAACGTATAAGAGTAAAAAGAGTATTCTAAACTGGAAGGCCATTAAAAAATAAACAAAAAGCAACCCAAACAATTTTCAAAAATTATTTCCAGGTTTATTTGGAATAATTGCTACCCTCAATCAATGTTTCCTGCCTTTGCATCCTGTAGTTCTGGTTCACTGCAGGCTTAACCACAACTGTTCTTTCATGTGTGTTAATCATGACAAATTTTGAGACAGCTGGAGAAAGATATATATTTCATATCTATGTAAAAAAAGGCAATCTTGTATTCCTCTACTAAAGTTTACCTTTGGCTGTATTTGCACACTACGTTTTAAAACATTTTTCTGAATGTGCTTTATTTTGTATATCCACTACATAAGTTGTAGCACTAAGGATTGGACTGGGTTATGTGACTTAAGAACTACCACCAGATACAAACTGCTACTAGATAAGATATTAGCTGAGATCACTACAAGTGAGTGTTTGTTCTTGGATGCCCCAAATTTTCAGTACTCATCAAGGAAAGGATACTCAGGATGGTCTTTCCACCTGCAGGAAATTAGAAGCTAGGATTAATAAGATCAATTTAAAAAAACCACAGTCACATAACTAGTTCACAAACAGCATTTGCTATGAGCAAAACTAGCATAGGAATGAAAATACTGCAGGTCTCCCAGAATTGCTAAACCAGAACTCTCAATATTATTTAGTATGGCCCATGATGCCTCAGGCTACTGGAAGCTGTAGCAGAAAGACCACAGTTGTATATTAATATATTAGGTGTTTTTCCTGGCCTCCCACCTCTCTTTAGGCCTCTGAAGAAATGAAAATGCTGGTTGTCATTGCAGCTTTGTTGAGCATTGTATTAAAATTTTTAATGGAGAGAATATTACTATTAGTTCTAGTGTAGTGACAGTAGCTGGCAGCACAGCTGACTTTGAAATTAACCTCAAGAAGCTAAGGTAGGTCAGACTGGGTTATTACTTGGATGAAAGATTTTCAGCAAGTATCTGGATAGGCTGGAAAGTTGAAAAAAACATCTCACAATGAGACAGGTTAATTTTCATATGATTGATGGAGATTATGGACTCAGCCTGATGACTTAGTATTAGTAAGTGTATTAATTGCATTTATCCTTCCTTTTCTCTGAGAGCTCAAGGCCCCAATCGTATTTGTTTGTTTGTTTGTTTGTTGTTATGCAATTTATTTGCTGCCCATCTCATATCCAACGACTTTGGGTGATTTACAACCTAATCTTAACTCCACCTCACTTGCATGAGTAGATTAGGTTGAGACAGCGGGGGCCTAAAATCACTCAATGAGTTTTGTGGGACTAGCTTGCTGTCTGAATTTTACAATCTACATCTAAGCCTTAGGTCAGGAGTCTGCAAACCTGATAACTTTAAGACTTGTGGACTTCAACTCCCAGAATTCCTCAGCCACCATAGGGAAAGCCACAAGTCTTAAAGTTGCCAAATTTAGAGATCCCTGTCCTAGGTAAAGGACATGTCCAAAGTATTGCTTGGCTATTGAGAAGTAAAAGAAAATTATACATCTTTTGACACTTGCTGATTTAGCTATATATGCTGAGGACTACAGTCATTACTGAATTTTGTTTCAGCTCTCTGTACTGCCAAAGGCTTCTGGCCTTTTTGGTTTGGCTAACTATTTGTTAGTTTCTTTGGACTGCCAGGCATCCAATTTAAGACTAGCTATCCCTTTTAATTAGGCTGCTGAGGCTAAAGCTGGAACCTTCATTTGGTTATCTAAGGACATGGATAGTCTGGATAGCTTCCAGCAGGCTGGAGTGTGTAAAATAAAGCCTAGCCTCTCTTGGTGTCATTTCTTACACAGTTTATTCTTCTGCAGATTTCTTGACACCAGTTTCAATGTTATCAATCCTAAGGTGAGCAGTAGCCTCATCAAATAGCCTGCTGTGTTCCTAAATCTTTTTTGGGAAACCTAAAGCCATTTTCCAGCTTCAGGATGAACAGAATTTCATGGCAGAGACTGTTGCACTGTGAGAAGACAGAAGAATCAAAACTATCTAGTTGGCTAAAAATTCTGGAGATTGTAATCCAATATATGAAGGAGTCGTGAATCTTAGCATTTATCTATTGATTTTATATTCCAATTTCTGTCTCAAGTACATGAGGGATGTTCCCCTGTTTTTAGTTATAGAACTCTGTGGTATTGATGCCGTTTCTATGTGCTGAGGAAAGGGCTTGAGAAAACGTGAAGCTACCTTTTAAAGGAAAACTGATATATAGTTCCCATATAACCTTAATCTTTGTTGTACTCATGAGAGCATGAATATTAGGAGAGTGATGAATTAACAGAAAATTGGTTTGTGCCAACTTCCCATCAAAGGAATTCTTGGTTTTGGCTATTAGCAACTGCCCTGTGATGTCCTAAGGATGGGCAAAGTGTGAAGCTCAAGAGATCCATCCGATATGATGGCTATTTAGGATCCTGGATTCTTCACACATTATTCTAAGTCAGTGGTTCTCAACCTTTTTAATGCCGCGACCCCCAACCGGTCGTACGTCGAGGACTACTCAACCGGTCGTAAGTCGAGGACTACTCAACTGGTGCAGCACCGTTTGCAGAATGGGACTTTTGGTGGGCTTAGTAGGGCAGAGACAGCCTGGACAATTCCTATTGGCTTTTGAAAGCCAATAGAATTAGACTCTATTCAAGAGAGTCTATTCTATTGGCTTTCAAAAGCCAATAGAATAAAAGGGAATAGCACAGCTAAGGAAAAGGGGGAAAAAATGACAGACTGTGTTGTTTGGCGACCCCCGTGAAATGGTCATTCGACCCCAAATGGGGTCCCGACCCACAGGTTGAGAACCACTATTCTAAGTTCTAGTATTAGCCATGTGTTATATAAAGCATGGATGGGCAAGTTCACAAGACCTACAAAGCTGAAACCAAACATTTCCCAGCCTGCTTACAAGTCATTTATGGCCCCCAATTTTATTTTCGTAAAAAGTGACAGTATAGTAGTGAGTATCCCATAAAAATCACAAATTTCCCCAAGGTGTCAATCTTTGAAATTATTCAGGGACTTACATTAAAAGCTCCACATAGCGGACATTTTTATTCAGAGCTTCTATATCTTTCATTTCCTTGTCAGTGAGAAAAAAGTCAAAGATCTTAACACAAAAAAGAAAAAAAATGTTAATATGAGTAGTAATTAAACATGTCTTTTAATAATGTCCCAACTGCTAATTCACAAAAGGCAGCTAGGCTTCAAACTTCCTCCCTTCTTCCCACAGCTTTGTGGGAAATGACAGTAAGCAGATTAATAGCAAATTCACAAGTAACTTGTGACAGAACCTGTATAATTAGGCACAACACTGTTCACTTTCGTCAATTGTATCTCAAGTATTTAAATCAACCAGATTATGAAAGTAACTTGGTGAAAACTTCGTTTTCATCCTGCTTTTATTCATTATTGTTTGTTAGCCACTCTTAGCCATGTTCCAGCAGCAGCTAATGGAAGAAAAACATAGTATAAGTACATTGCAAAAAGGACACTTAAAATGAGGATACAAAATAGCAAATTTAATTGACTGTTTGGAAAGAAAGAAGCAATTCCTTGAAGGATTTTTTTTTTTTTTTTTTTAAAGGAGAGAAATAGGGCATTCACATTTATCACGTGTTATGTCACCCTGTAAGAGCATGACTGGCCTTAGTTTAATCGGTCCAAATCCAGCAGTCTATAATATCTCAAGGATATGGAATCTGTTTTCCTTCAGAAGATTTGAAATTCAACATGCAGTAGCCACTCTATCTGAGAGTGCTAGGAACTATAGTTCAGTAACATCTGAGAAATAGATGCTCTCATTTATGCTACCTACTATATTTATTTGCTTTTTTTTGCCTTTTAATTTTTTATTATTTTTTACCATACACCAAAACAAACTTAAAATACATAAACATAAATCTTTTCTTTTAACAGAACAGTACTCTATATTTTAAGCATTCTTTACATCTTATTTACATTTTATGTACATCAATAATTATGTCTTTTTCTTTCTCTGTTCTAGCCAATTACAACATTTATTCCAAATTTCATAAAATTCTGTAGCCTCCTTGTCTTTTAATTCTAATGTAAGTTTGTTCATTTCTGCGCATTCCAAGATTTTGTATATAATCATATCATTTGTGGGAATATTTTCACTCTTCCAACATTGAGCATATGCTATACGAGCTGCAGTCAATATGTGTATAATGATGTGTTGGAGTTGTTTTTCCATCTTTAAATTTATTATGCCCAAAAGAAATAATTCTGGTTTGAAATCCATTTGTATCTCAGTTATCTCCTGTATCCAATCTCTTATTCGTTCCCAATAATTTTTTGCTTTGGGGCACAGCCACCACATGTGATAAAATGTTCCTTCTCTGATTTTACATTTCCAACACTTCGGGTTTATGTTTTTATACATTTTAGCCAATCTCGCCAGTGTTAAATGCCATCTGTAAATCATTTTATATTGATTCTCTCTGTATGGAGTTGATAGCGTCAATTTGCAATTTATGTTCCATAATCTTTCCCATTCCTCTAAATTTATATTTCGCCCCACATTTTGTGCCCACGCTATCATTGGCCCCTTCACTATTTCTTCCTCTATCTCTAATAAGTATTTATAAATTTTTGATAATAGTTTTCCTTCCTTACTTATTAGAATTTTATCAAGTTGGTGTGGGGTCTGACTAATTCCATGTTCTTGCCTATCCGTATTGTATCTAGATTGAATTTGTAAATACGGCCACCAATCTATGGGTATTCTTTGTTCCTCCAACTCTTCTCTTGACTTGAGATTTCCTCGGTTATCCAGTAATTCTTTATACCTAATCACCTTTTTTGTCTCTAATGTATTGGGATGAATCATTGCCTCCATCAGCGAGAACCAATTTGGAATTTTCCCATAGTGTCTTTTTTTTTATTTTTTCCTATATCCTGATCAATGCTCCTCTTATCTGATGTTGCTGGAATTATGTTGATGTTTTCTTCTGTTTCCCCCATAGAAATGCATACCAACCTGCCTGTAGATCATGTCCTTCAATCATTAATATCCTTTCATTATCCAAGTTTATCCAGTCTTTAATCCATAATAATCCTGCCGCATAATAATAGATTTCCCATTTAGGGAGTTCAAGACCACCTCTACTCTTACTATCTTGTAATGTTTTGGTATTTATCCTAGCTTTTTTGCCTGCCCAAATAAATTTATTTATTATTTTATCCAATTCTTTAAAAAAAGTTTTCTCTAATTTTATTGGAATTGTTTGAAATAAATACAATAATCTTGGTAGAATATTCATTTTAGTCAATACGATTCTGCCTAATAATGATAATTGGAGATTCCCCCAAGTCTCAAGATCTTGTTTCATTTTTAATATCAATTTTGTATAATTGTCTTCTTTTATTGAGGAACACCTTGAGGTTATCCAAATTCCTAAATATTTAATCTTTTTTGCTACTTGTAATCCCAAATTCTCTTCCAATTTCCTTTTTTGTTTATCGGTTAAATTTTTTGTTAACATTTTAGTCTTTTCTTTGTTAATTTTTAATCCTGCCATTATTCCAAATTTTTCTATTTTACCCATAAGAATATTTCCTCTCTCTATAGGTTCCTCAATAAAGAAAACCAGGTCATCAGCGAATGCCTGTAACTTATATTCCTCTGCTTTGACCTGTACCCCTTTTATTTCTTTATTTGCTCTAATTTGAACTAATAATACTTCAAGCGTCAAAAGAAAAAGTAAAGGTGAAATTGGGCATCCCTGTCTTACCCCTTTGTTTATTTCAAAACTTTTTGTATTCTCTCCATTGATTATCACACCAGCTCTCTGTGTTCTATATATTGCCTTTATTATGTTACTGAATTTCTCACCAAATTTCATATCCTCAATCTGTTAGAACATAAATTGCCAACTGAGGCTATCAAATGCTTTCTGCGTGTCTAAAAAAATCAAAGCTGCCTGTTTTCCTAAATGTATTTCGTAATACTCTAGGACAGTGATTCTCAACCTTTCTAATGCCGCGACCCCATAATACAGTTCCCCATGTTGTGGTGACCCCCAACCACTTATATATCACCGGGTGCCAGGGGCGTGGCCAAAGAAAAGGGGGAAAAATGGCGGACAGCCTTGTTTGGCGACCCCCGTGAAATGGTCGTTCGACCCCAAATGGGGTCCCGACCCACAGGTTGAGAACCACTGCTCTAGGACATTTAACACCATTCTAATATTGTTTCTGATTTGTCTCTGGGGTAAAAAACCATTTTGGCCTGGATGTATTATATTTTGTAAAATTAACTTTAATCTTTCAGCCATTATATTAGTAAAAATTTTGTAATCCGTATTTAGCAGTGAGATTGGCCTATAGTTTTTAATCTATTCGGGGTCTGTGCCTTCTTTTGGGATAAGAGATATGATGGCATCTATCCAGGAGTCTGGTAGATTAGATTTCTCCAACACATCATTATACACCTCTAGTAATATCTTTTCAAAATCTTCGTGGAAGGTTTTATTTAGCTCTCCCGGAAGGCCATCCAGTCCTGGGGTCTTATTATTTTTTTGTTTTTGCACTGCCCTTTTTAATTCCATAGCTGTTATTTTCCCATTCAGTATTTCTCTTTGTCCTTCTTTTAATTCTGGCAGACCATTAACTTTCAAATATTGTTTAATCTTTTCCCCATCTATTTCATCTTTTTTATATAATGACTTTATTTGCTTTTTTAAAGGGGACAATGTACAAAAAAGTTATAGACTCTTACAGACATCTGAAAGAATGGAGATGGAAAAAAAAGATGTCTGATCTTTTATTCCCTCTGGTTTCTAATCCAATCTGACTTCTTCCAAATAGTTTGGATTGGAAAACTCCTCCAAAGCCGGCTGGAAAGGATGAGAGTTGTAAACCGATATATTTGGAAGGTGCAAGGTTAAAGAAGGCTGATGGCGTAGAATGATTTTCATTCTTGAGTTACAATGAATGAATCACAACTGCAATATCTCCATCCAGATACAACTGGAGATAGAGTAATAGTAATGGCACTTGTAATAGACTCTAACTCTAAAAGATTGAAGACTTCTGTCCATGAAAGAATCTGGGTCATTTTGAATGTACACTGCATTCATTCATTGAGTTTACCTGGAAATTTTCTCTAATACGGTTTGAATTAAAGCTTTTTGGAATGACCACCACGCCACGCTGAATGTTGAAGCGCAGGGCCACCTGAGCAGCTGTCTTCTTGTATTTTTTTCCAATGGCATTTAGCAGGGGATCCTCCAAGAGTGGAGGGGAAGATACATTCACCCTTGTAAAAAAACACAAAGAGAAAAGAATCAGATTTTCCTTAGGAGGAAGATAGGTAGATTACAACATGGGGTTGAAAAGGAGCTGGCTCAAGACAACAACTATTGTGATCAAGTTTGAAAATAATCAAAAGTCCATCTGTTACTAAATCAGATGCAATATTGATCCTTGTTCATGTTACGTATGGATGCAGAATTAGTTCCCTGGGGAAATCAAACCATGCCTGCATATGAACAGATGGGTGAAAGGACAACTGAAACTCAAATGTTGTCCTCAGGCTGAAAGCATGATTTTAGCTGCCATAGTAGAGGACAACTGTTTTATGTGTATCACTAATATATAATTAATTTTTTTTTCAATTGGTTTAAAATATTTTAGCATTAAACCACGTATTCAGCTTTTTAAAGTAAATTGGCTAGAATGGAAGAATTTAAGACATCTGCAGAAAACCTGACCTTAGAAGAGGTCATCTATCTCTTCTTTTAGACAACTTAATATAGAAAGGAATGTCTCTTCCAAGTCAATAATGGAAGTCAGGGCCAAGAAGACACATTTCTTCTCCTGAATATTTTCACGCATAGAGGTTTTGCTCTGCATTGAAATAGTCTGTTTTTCATGTTTTATATTTTCCTGTGCTGGTTGTTATTTGAAGCATACTTTTGATTTGTCTTTTATACATTTTTATTCATCTTCTATTTTTTTTCAAATAAAAATTCATGTCTTCAAAAATTACATCATTTCAGCCAAGAATTAGGATGATCAAGACATCTAATGTTGCTTTCTTCCTAAGTAAAAGTACTGAATCAGAATATTAACTATGGTTTTTTTTCTATGTATAATTTAATAGAACATGCAAGCAAGATATGCTGCTTGTGATTGGTAATTGGAATGATGAAGCTGGAAACATGAAGAAGGAGAATGTAGTTGGATTGTATGGCTTAGGAAAGTGAAAGGAACAGGAGACTGACTTATCCATTTCTGCTACTCCAATGATTTCTTCATGGCTAACACTGTCTTCAAACATCCAAAATTATGTTTCTATACATGGACATCACCAGATGGAGTACATAGAAATTAACTATATTAGTGTTAAAAGGAACTGGAGGGGCTCAGTTATACCATCAAAGAGACAGTCAGGTGCTGACTGTGAAACAGGTCACAAATTGCTCATATGCAGGCTCCACATTAAGCTAAAGAAGAAGAAAACCAGTCAGTTTCCATGATATGATCTAGAACATATACCCACTATTTTCAAGGAGAACATCAGAAATTGCTTTAAAGTCCTGAATTTCATTGAGAGAAGATTTATGGTATGAATTTAAGGAACTGGCTAAGGATGAATGTAAAAAAGGAACTGTCAAAAACGAAGAAAGAGAAGAAAGCAAGGTGGCTGTCAGAACAAACCATGCAAGAGAAGAGAATCCAAAGCCCAAACTCTCAGAAATTAACTTAACAAAGCATTTCAGACACATATTACAAGAGATAAGAAATGGTGTTACAATAACATCTGTAAAGACATTAAAACAAACATGGAAAAACAGGGAAAGCCTTTCAAAACATCTCTGAACTCAGAAGGGGGTTTCAGCCTCAAATCAGTATGCAAGTTGGAGAAGCTACAGGAATTGACAGAATACGCAATGAAATATGGCAAGCAACAGAATAAAAATCATACAAGGTTCTAGCTAAACTATGCCAGCAAATTGGAAGAATGGCACAGTAACCAAGCAATAGGAAGAAGTCAATGTACATACCAATACCAAAAAAAGGAGATTTATATATGCAGAATATATATTAAGAGAAGCTGGATTGAAAGAAGATGGAGGAAAAAACATCAATAACCTGTGCTATGCTGACAACACTATCCTAATAGCTGAAAATGCACAGGATATGCAAGCCCCAATATTAAAAGTCAAAGAGTATAGTCAGCAGTGATGGCAAACCTTTTAGAGACCGAGTGCCCAAACTGCAACCCAAAACCCACTTATGCATCATCGAGTGCCGGGTGGGCGTGGCCAATTGGGTGGGTGTGGCTGTGGTGGTAACAGCAGACTGGGTGGGACTAAAAAGTTCAATCAATCAATTCCAACTTTGAAGATCTTTTTTTTCCTGCAAGAAGTTGAAATTGATTGATTGAAACTTTTTTTTTTTTTGCACATGGCAGCGGAGGCCTAAAGCGAAAAGGTTTTATAAAACCCAGCTGAAGGCCTAGGACTGGAGCGACGGCACATGTGCACACAGAAAGGGCTCTGAGTGCCACCTCTGGCACCCGTGCCATAGGTTCGCCACCACTGGTATAGTGAAATAATGGGACTAAAATTAAATATAAAGACCATCTAATTAATGATAGCAGGTAGAACAGCCAACCTTAGAACTGACAATGAAGACATCAAAGTGATAGATAGCTTCAATACTCAAATGCAGTAATATAATAATACACCTAGAAATATCAGAATTGTGCAAACTATAGTATTCCCTATGGCATTCTATGGAAGCAAAAGATGGACTTTAAGGAAACAGGATTATGAAGAGCATTGAGCTTTTGAACTTTGGTATAGAGAGATTCCTAAGGATATCCTGGACAGCCAATAAAGCAGCCAATAGATCATTGAATGAATCAACCCAGCTCCAATGCTGGGAAAGAGAGACAGAAAGAAAAGACAAGTAGCAATGGATGGATGGGGTGGATGGGCTTAGTCATTCCACCATTGGGAGGCATGAAAGAACATGTTAGGGATAGATTGTCTTGGAGAAAATGTATCTATGTGCTTGCTAGGAATCAAAAATGTCTTGATGGCACATAATCAATCAAAATGCTATTTTTAAATCAGGTGACTATCCTATTCTTAATCCTTGTCTGAACTCTTATTTTTGTTAAGGAATAAAAGACTCTTTGTGATTATGAAGAAAATGAGCCCATTTAGTTGAGGTTAAGTTCTGATGGCTGTAGCATTAAAATAAAACAGGACTTGTAGGGAAAAGACAAATTGCAAGACATATAATTAGAGAATTGATCCCTCTCTGCTTCTCTATTAGTAGTGCATAGTCAGCCATCAAAAGAAAAAGGAGGAGTTCAGTGAGGATGGATCAGGAAAATGTTAGAGCTGATTGTCATCATCCCCACCACTCAGCTTTCTGCTTTGCTAGCATGAGTAATCCAGGAAGACTTCTACTCTGATGATTTACCTCACATTTGTTTCTCTCTTCATCTACTTAGAATTGCCATGTCAATCTCAATGATGGAACATCACAATTGATCCATGACAAAACATTCTTTATTTCTGTCTCTCTGCTTTGGTCACAAAGCTGCATCAGCATTAAACCATAAATCCTTTAACATTTGCTTCACTATTATACCTCCTTTCCTCCACCTCCTCCTCCTCCTCTTTTTCAATGCAAAATCTTACCAGCTGTCATCTCTTGACGTGCCTAGTGGACTGTACCCAACAGGAACAATATCATGCAATTTGCAGAATTCTAAAAGTTTAGGTTGAGTGAAGTATGGATGACATTCAATCTACAGGTGTGGGAAATGCAGAATTTAAAAAATCAGGGTTAAGAAACAAAAACAAAGTTAGCTGTATTTATTTTTGCAAAAAGCAACAACTTCTGAAAGACAAAGCATCAACTGGGGAAATATTAAGAAGCTTCCTTTCTTGTACAGATTTCTGTCTCTGGTATGTAGCCTCGCATAATCAAGTCTCTCTCTCTCTCTCTCTCTCTCTCTCTCTCTCTCTCCCTCCCCCCCTCTCTCCACACAGGATTTCAAAAGTGGTTTGCTATTGTCTTCTTCCTAGACTGAGAGAAAGTGACAGGCCCAAGATCAATTGGCCAGCTTTCATTCCTAAGTCAGGACTAGAACTAACCATGTCCTGGTTCATAATCTTTTCAACTTTTTTTTCCTCTCCCAAAATGGAGGATGGGACTATATTGGTGTAACTTATTTTAGTAAGATATATGCTTTTTGCAAATATTTTAGTTCAAACTGCACTGAAATACTTAAGCAATTCCTATGCTTGTATCTTCAGTATGATTTCCTTGCAAAAACAGTGCAAGTTTGGAGCATGGAAGGAGAAAATTCAACTCCCCAGGACACTGAGTAGCCTGGCCAATTAAACAGCTAATAAGAAGTTATTGCTTCATTGAATTGTTCCAGTTTACTCCAGGCATCTGAATGGTCTGTGACATTTAAGGTGATGGTAGGCCAAGGGAAACACAAGTTCTAATCCATAGAATCTCCTGTGGCTAAAGTGGGGCCCTCTAAAGGGGTGGAGGAAGATTTCAGTTAGGCTAATCCACGTGTTTTAACTATAAGCTCAAACTGGTAGAACACACTGACCTTTTACAACTGCCAAGAAAACTGTTTTAGTTTCAGCAAGCTTGCATATTAAAAAACAAAAACAAAAACCCAGATATGCCTTAGAACCTCATTGTCTGCAAGATAATAAGGCCCACAATATTTTTCTGATGGCCTAACCTTCTGAGCTGTTTAGCATCTCATTTCCAGCTATCTGCTCCTAATCATTCATGATCAGTTTGATATAAGGGATACGGATCTTTAGAAAGAAAAAGAGCCATCATTCCAGACATCACTTCCAAACCTCTCCTTTTCTATGATTCCTCCCAACCACTCCAACTAGCAACAGCCAATTCAACAAAATCCAGAAATTATCTTCTTAGTATTTAACTCACATGTGTGAGTTAAATGCAATTATGATTTCTTATCTTTGATATAACACATTAGCTGGGTCACCTTATTTCCCAACTTTTTTTCATGGATTGTATGGTACGTACATAGTATGTTCATAAACATTTGTCCCCTATGTTGAGTCCTTCACGAAAGGCAAGACACGAGAAGCAGTTGTAGTTCTCAGGTTTTCTTTTATTCTGTGTTCAGGTTACAGATGAAGGCTTCAGCAACGCCCAAAAGCTCCCAGCCTCTTATATAGGCAATTCCCGGGTCAATGTGTTACTTTTCCCGCGCCAGCACCCGCGCATGCGCACAGGCGCTGGTGACAGCCTGTCTGGTCCCGGGCAGCTTGCACCTGCCCGGGACTGCCTGCAAACGCCCCGAGCCCGTTTGCAAGGCTCGGGACATAACACCCCTTTCCCCCGGGCTAAGACTACTACCAACATACAATTATTTCTTGATGCAGTGTTCTACTCCCCAGTGCTCCTACTGTTTACTGGCTTTTGTTTAGCCAGCAATGTTATGTAATCCTCTAAGTACTTAGGAGATTTCCTTGCTCTCTGTGACCTTCTCAGCTCTGGGTTTCTGACAGGTGTTCCCTGACTGAAGGGAGACGTGAGCCTGTTCTCCTTATCTTGCCTTGGTGCCTTCCAAGGACTGTGCCCCAATGCCTGGCCTGCTTGCTCGCCCACCGGGCTCGTCAGGCCAGGGCTTCTGTCACTTTGTGACCTGGTTGACCTGCCTAGCTGTAGGCCCTCGGGCCCCTTGAAGTGATAGCCACTGCTGGGCGTCTCTGTAGAACCTCCTAGGTCCGTCCAAGACCTGTCAGGAGGCTGTCCATTCCCTAAACCCCGTTCTGTGTCCGGGCTCGTGTGGGTTTCTGTACCTTCCCAAAACTCAGTTACTCCCTGATTTGGGCTAGAGGTGTTGCGGTCGGGACTTGGTTCCTCGACCACCTCCCTGTATGTTTGACCCCCTGTAGGACTTGGGGTAAGGTCAGGCCAACTCTGGGGATTATGTGCCAGCTCTCTTGCGGGGTATGATTTATTGGGATGCTCCCGGGTATCCTCCCTGACTGGAGTACTGTGCTGTGCAGGTGAATAGTGATTGTACCCCCGGGGTGACTCCCTGGCTGGAGTAGGCGTGAATGCCTGGTAGTTGGATAGGCTCTTAGAATTCCTGTTTGGGGCACTCGCGGAATCTTGGAATGGGCCGTTTGTGGCTCCATCATTGGAGGTGGGCAGCAGCTCGTGCCCCTCCCTTTGCTCTAAAGGGTCCCCCTCCCCCCTGGAAAAGACCCAGGAGTCTCATCTGGAAGATCCCACCTAGGGCGGAGTTGGTCGATGTGCCGGCGCAGGACACGACCGTTGTCCAGGGCTACCTCGTAGGATAGAGGACCTGTGACCCTGGAAATAGAAGCGGGGACCCATGTATGACCAGGCCCGTAATTGTGAGTCCAAACCGGGGCACCCACAAGTAGTTGTCTAGGTGCCCTAGGGTGTGAGGTAGATAAAGGTAGTCTGTCCGGATGCAACCGGTCAAGCTTCGTAGTCAGTTTGCGCCCCCAGCGAAGTTCAGCTGGGCTTCTCCCTGTAGAAGTGGACGGTGTGGTGCGATAAGAAAGGAGAAAGTCAGCCAACCTGTGATGCCAGTCCCCATAGGTGAGTTTCTTCAAGGCGTCCTTGGTGATGCGAACCATGCGTTCAGCCATACCGTTGGTGGACGGGTGGAAGGTGCAGAAGTGGCATGATGAATCATGTTGGCCTGCAAGAAAGCTTGGAATTCGGAGGAAGTAAATTGAGGGCCGTTGTCAGACACAATGACATCTGGGAGCCCGTGTGCAGCAAAAATCCCCCTCAGTACCTGAATAGTCTTTGCAGTGGTGGTGGATGAGACAGGTACAACCTCAAGCCATTTTGAATGGCTGTCAACGAGGACCAAGAAGAATTGGCCCTGAAAGGGCCCAGCGTAGTCAATGTGCACCCTAGACCATGGGGACTGTGTTTCCTCCCATCTATGCACAGGAGCTTGGGGCATCTCTGGGCGAGAGCGTTGGCACAAGTGGCATGCATGCACCTTAGCCTCAATGTCCTAAACCAGGCCACCACAAGTGGCTGCGCGCAAGGGCCTTCATGCGAACAATGCCAGGATGACCCTCGTGGAGGGACTCTAAGATCCTAGTCCTCATTGAGGTGGGAATGACAACTCTGTTTCCCCAAAGCAGACAACCCTGAGAAGTGGACAACTCGTTCCTTTTGGACCAGAAACTCTGAAACTCAGGACTAGGGCAGTGCTCAGGCCATCCAGACAAAACCCAAGAAAGGACACGTGAAAGTGTGTGATCTGTGCCTGTTTCAGCGGCGACATCCCTGGCATTCAGAGGGGACTCGGGCAAGGCTTGGATGGATAGAATGTTGACAGCTGGCGCAGGGTCAGCTTCTACTACTGGCAGGGGCAATCTACTGAGGCCATCAGCATGGCCCATTTCTTTCCCAGGCTTGTGGAGTAAGGAAAAATCATATGCAGACAGAAAAATAGACCACCTAAGCATTCTAGGGGAAATGATTTGGGGAGTTTGTTTACGTGTGGTAAACAGTCCCAGCAGAGGCTTATGGTCAGTGAAGACCGTGAAATGCCTGCCATACAAGAAATCATGGAATTTTTTAATTCCAGCAACAACAGCCAGAGCCTCCCTGTCTATCTGAGCGTAGTTGCGCTCAGCAGAAGACAGTGTTCTGGAGTAATATGCAACAGGAACCTGAGTTCCATCAGACCTGAGGTGGCTCAGGACAGCTCCTACCCCGTAAGGGGAAGCATCACAAGCGATGCACACAGGAAGGGACTCATTGAAGTGTGCAAGTACACTGTTAGAAATGAGTAAGGCCTTGACCTCATTGAAACTAGCCTCATGTGTTTGTGACCACTGCCACACTGCTTGTTTGTCTAATAGCCTGTGAAGAGGCTCAGCTACACTAGCTTTATGTGGAAGAAAAGAATTGTAGAAATTCAGGAGGCCCAGGAAGGCCTGAAGTTCGGCCTTAGACTTTGGCCTAGGTGCTTCTAAAATGGCAGTTAGTTTGGATTCAGCAGGGTGAATCCCAGCAGCATCAATTTTGAACCCCAAAAATTCAGTAGAAGGCACCCCTATTTTGCATTTGTCCTTCTTAAGCTTGAGGCCTGTCTTCCTGAATCTTAATAAAACAGCCCTTAGCCGTTCAGCTAGAATGTGTGTGGAGTCTCCTGCAATTAAGACATCATCAAAGTAGGGGCAAACCCCCGGTATACCTCGTAGTGTGTTTTCCATTACGCTTTGGAAAATCCCAGGAGCGACATTCACTCCAAACTGTAGCCTTTTTACCTTAAAGGCTCCTCAGTGGGTCACAATAGTCTGAGCTATAGCAGCATCATCATCAACAGGCAGCTGTTGATACGCTTGAGCTAGGTCAAGCTTTGCAAAAACACGCCCCCCCCCTTGAGAGAGGCCAGGATATGACTGACCACAGGAACAGGATAGGTATGTTGCTGTAATGCCTTATTCAGAGTGCATTTGTAATCGGCCAAATGCGAATGTCCCCATTTGCCTTTAGAGGCGTGACAATGGGGGTCTCCCAAGGACTGGAGTCAACAGGTTCTAGAATTCCTTGTTGGATCAGTTTGTCCAACTCAGTGTCAATTTTACTCTTTAAAGCAAAAGGGACCCTTCTTGCTTTAATTCTAATAGGAGTGACAGTGGTGTCTAGTTTTAAGGACACGGGGGGTCCTTTGAATGTGCCTAGCTGGGGACTGAAGACATCTGCGAATTCTTTGCAGACTTCCTGCAGATCGAGTGTTTGTAAGCTGTTGAGCCCCGTGACGTGTAACCCCAAGGCCTCAAACCACTCGAGTCCTATGAGACTCGTTCGTTCACCCCCTACTACTAATAGGTCTAGTGGACCTTCAAAATTCTTGTACTGAACATTAAGGGTGGCCTCCCCCTTAACACACACTCTCGAATTCTGAAAGTCTGTTAGCACAATGTCAGAAGGCCTTAACTTGGCCTGAGTTCCACTGCCGGAACAAATCTTCCTAAATGTATGTAAGGAGATGATTGAAAGTGCAGACCCCGTGTCTAGTTCCATAGTTAATGGAACCCCTTGTAGCTTCACCTTGAGTGACAGCTTTTTCTTAATTGGCTTTTGTGTGCCTGTCCTAAGGATGCTCCTTCGCGAAGCGCAAAACCCCACCCTATTCTGGCTGGGGACCCTGGTACCTTTCAGGCGTATTTCTTCCTGAGGTTGTACCTTTCGTCGGCCCAGACACACAGCTGCAATATGTCCTTGTTTTCCGCACGCCCGGCAGATAGTGGAGCGGAACTTGCAGTCGGTTCTCCTGTGGCGACCTCCACAGCCGATGCACTTGAGGGGAGCTGAAGAGTTTCCTTTATGGTTCCCTTCCTTCGTGGGGTGGAGACGGTCGACTTCCTCGTCCGGATCCTCCTCGGAGTTCCCTTGGACTTCTTCTTGGTGCACGGATGCAACATCTGGACTGTTCCTGATCGGCCGCATGTTCTTGATGGCGCCGCCTGCTGCTTCTTCTGCGGTGACTTCTCTCAAGGCATCTTGGAAGAACAAGTCCTTTTGGCGAAAAGCCTCTGTTGTAACTCTCGATGCCTTAGCCCGCACACGAATCGGTCCCTCAGTCATTCTTCAAGGTCCTTGAACTCGCAGTGCTTGGCGGCCTTTCTTAATGCGGCGATGTATTCTTTGGCCGATTCTCCGGATCGTTGATCCCTCTGCTCGAAGGTGTGGCGCCATGTGATGACGGACATCTTAGGCTGGAAGTGCTCCTTCAGTAGCTTCTTTAGATCTGCGTAGCTGACAGACTCTAATGGGACAGGTGCTGCGAGGTTCTCCGCGATTTCGAAGGCGTCTTGACCGCAGACACACAGCAGGGTGGCAGTCTTCAAGCTATCTTCCCTCACTTGATTCACCTTGAGGTAGTTTTCCACCCTGGCTACGTAGGACTCTCACCTCTCTGGATGTGAGACGTCGAACTCCGAAAGCCTTCCAATTTTTGCCATCTTCAGGAGACGGGTCTATCAGCCAGCCTACCCCCGAATGCGCACTGGATTGGCGGGTAGCTGCCAAGTCAACGCCGTTCCGCCGCTCAGGACTCACTTGGGTAAGCTTACACCTTTTTTTTCTTTTCCGTCGGTGCAAGGCATCCCACCTTCGTAGCCAGTGTTGGGTCCTTCGCGAAAGGCAAGACACGAGAAGCAGTTGTAGTTCTCAGGTTTTCTTTTTTTCTGTGTTCAGGTTACAGATGAAGGCTTCAGCAACGCCCAAAAGCTCCCAGCCTCTTATATAGGCAATTCCCGGGTCAATGTGTTACTTTTCCCATGCCAGCACCCGCGCATGTGCACAGGCGCTGGCGACAGCCTGTCTGGTCCCGGGCAGCTTGCACCTGCCCGGGACTGCCTGCAAACGCCCCGAGCCCGTTTGCAAGGCTCGGGACATAACACCCTACACATCTACTTAAAAGAATTATGGAACATATGACCCAGCTCAGAAACATAAAAAGCTGTTAATCAGAGTAAATAAGACCATTCTGACTTTATCTGAAGCACTCTCTGAACTGCCCCAAATGCCTCCCTCCTCCTCTAACGGCCTCTTCTGGTAATAAAGTGGAATTGATTACTTTAATTTCCCGTGATTAAACCTTGAGCAGAAAATTAACATGATTTTATGCTTGTCCTGACTGAGTATGAATTGACTGCTTGTTCATTTTAGCCAAAAATGCAAGGCTTGTGGGGAAGGTTGAATGAATAAGCTAGGATTTTGTTTGTTGTTTGTTTTTAGTAACATATTTGTTTATCTTATGTTTTATAGCAAACCAAAAACCAACCTGGAAGGACAAATATATGAAAAATGACATAGTTGTTTTTTATGACAGGAAATCATGAAGATACATCATACAAGATACTCTGATGCTAGATACCTTAGTCAAGGACCAATGGCTTATGCCATTCATTATGTGAGAAAGTTAACATGCTTACATGGGTTCATCTATTCATTGTCATTACCTGGTTGCTGACAGGCTTGTACTTCAAACCTGGCTTGTTCAGAATCATTTCCAGCTGCCTACGGTTGAAGTTGGATACCCCAAGAGATTTTACCAAGCCTGCATCTTTGCATGCTTCCAAAGCCTGTGAGAATGAAGTAGGCAAAACAGTGTAATAAACTGGCAAATAATATTTTTACTGCTTAGAAGAACAAAATAAATAAGTGTGATGGAATTGTGATGCTGCTATAATAATCCATGATGAACCTAAGTGCTCCTCAGGTGTATCAATTCCCAGAAATGGAAGGCCCATTCTCAGCAATGGTCATGCTGGTTAGGAAATGATGGGAGTTCAGGTTTACACAGCTGAGAGGCAGCCAGTGGAGGAAGGCAAAGGAGAAAAAAGAAGGACAGGTTGACTCATCCCCCACCAAAGTTTGCTCTTGGGTACAGAAATTATACTTCAGCAAGAATTTTAATGAAGAAAATCAGGTATAAGAATGTGCATAGAGTAAAATGTGACCAAATTAAGGAAAAGGAAGATGGGAGAAAAGATGGACAGGGGAAAAGCAACAGAAAACAAAAATTGCAAGAAGGGGAGAAGGGAGAAAATACTAATGATCCTTGTAAAAAATTGTACAAGACAATGGCCTTTAAGGAATACATACCACTTGGGGTTTTTTTGCAACACTGATCTGACAAGAACAATCCTTTCATTTCTTTTAAATTCCTACTAGTTTGGTTTCTTTGTCTTCAAACTTTAAAAATAATTCTACTTCCCAGAAAAACAATATCATTAAGCCCACCAAACATTTCTCTGCTCTCATGGATATAAATTGAGTTCAATAAAAAAAACTTCAATAGAATTAAATATTTAATATGCCATAAAACTTACTGTAAAGACTAAAATGGCTTAACTCTCCAAATATCATGAAAATAATAATGTTTTACAAATTAAGGATGCATGCCATATTTTTTTTTAATTGAAAATTTTTTAAAAATTTTACAAAAACAAAACAACCCTTCCCCAAACCTCCCCAACCCTCCCATTCCCTCCCCCGACCTTCCCAGAGCTGAATACAGGCTTAATTGAAATTTCTTCAAAAAATCTTAAAAGAGATATAAACCATGAATAAATCTAAATACATTAATTGAACAAATTATAAAATAATTAACAATAATATATGTATAGAAAAACATAAATATCAAAAGAAAAATGCTTTAAAGAAAAAAGAATAAAAAAAAGAAAAAAGAAAAAGATAAAAGAAAATATAATAAAAATAAAAAATAAAAATTAAAAAAATAAAGTCTATAAAATATTTAAAATTTTAAATATAAGTTATTGAAAAACTAAATAATATTTTTTATATCCAACTTATATTGTATAAAATCTATCCATTTTTTCCATACTACAAAATACTTCTCTTGTGATTGATCCTTCAAAAAAGCCGAAATCTTTGCCATTTCCGCCAAATAAGAAACTTTAAAAAACCACTCTTGTGAAGTAGGCAAAGATTCCTTCTTCCAACATTGTCCTACTAACAACCTTGCAGCTGTAATTAAATTTAACATCAATATGGTCTCTTTAGTATCACAATCAATAACAATACCTAACAAGAACAATTGTGGGGTAAATTTTACCCTCCTTCTAAAAATTCTTTGAATATTCCACCATATCTTAATCCAAAAAGCTTTTATATTTTTATACGACCACCAGATATGATAGTAAGTAGCATCCAAACATCCGCATCTCCAACATTTAGGCTGTAAGTCAGGATACATGCGAGACATTTTTTGTGGATCAAGGTGCCATCTATAAAACATTTTGTAAAAATTCTCCCTTAAGTTTTGGGCTTGTGTAAATTTGACATTCCTCACCCAAATAATTTCCCAGGTATCTAATAGAACTGGTTCACCAAAATTTTGTGCCCATTTAATCATACATTCTTTGACTAATTCTGCTTCTGAATCCAATTCTACTAACACCCCATAAATTCTCTTAATATGAGTTCATTTTTGATCTTTTATTTGTTTTAACAAGTTTTCATCTTCTCTAAGCAAACCCACATTGCGATCTATCTTCCATCTGTCCACTATTTGTCTATACTGAAACCATGAGTAAGTAATATTTTCTTGTGTTAAATCTTCCAAAGATTTTAACTGCCAATTTTTACCATCCCATCTAAGTAATTGTGCATAAGAAACACTATCCATCTTAACTCCTCTCCTTATCCCTTCTATTGCATGCCATGGTATAGCCCATAATGGAATTTTAAAATCACTTCTATAATATTTCCTCCAAACCCGAAGTAAAGAAATCCTTATAATATGAGATTTAAAAACCCTATCGACTTTTTTATTAAAAATTAGATAGGCAGATGCATGCCATATTTATCATACCTGATGACCAGCTCCACTATTTGTGACTTTATAATTTTGGTCAATTAAGTAAACAGATCATTCCTGAATTGTGGGGTGTTATGTTGTTATTTTATTTTTGCCAAAATGATATCCCTCCATATCACAGACAGCTAGATTGATCAATTTTGAGCACACCTAGGTTTAAGGCCAATATTACTGCTTCAGTATAGCATACAACTCAGAATCTGTTGCTGTTCAAGTGTACAATGGAACTTAACTTTCTTTTCCCTTCTACATTTATTGGAAGAGATATCCTAAGGACTATGAGAAGGTTTTAGATACTGTTAGTTATGATACGATTAATGTTTCCCAAATACTCACCCCCCACGTGGCACATAGATCTGTTTTATGATAAAGCCATTTTCCATTTTCATCTTTAGGATAGGGGTTTTCTCCAGGCTGAAGAAACAAAAAAAGTCACATGGGAAGGTGGGGAAAAGAGATAAAAATCTCACAAGGTTGCAATATTCTGTTAATTTTGGACAGGGAGACAGTTTCCCTATAGTTTGAAGAGAAAGTAGATATTTGGAGAGAAGACCTCAAAGCTAATTCAATTTACTGAACATTAACCATTAGATGTATGTATGTCAGATATGACAGACTCAATGTGTATCAGGTCCCATGTACTGTAGGCAACCTGATGTACTCCAGATGTTTTTGAGTATATCTCTCACGATCTCTTGTTCTGGGAGTTGAAGCCTAAACATCTGAAGGATACTAGATTGTTTACACCTGAACTAATTTCTTTATATTAATCTTGAGAGATTAGAATGTCTTTCTTTTGGTGGTTTTGCCAAAAGGCAACTAGACATTAGAGCAGAATATTTTCTAACTAGGAGGAAAGGAACAAGATCCCAATACCAGCCAACTCCTAGCTGGCTGTCTAGAGTTTTCCCTTTGGAAAAAACTGAATGAAGACTGGCACTGCCTCTGAAATTCCTCTCCATTATAATTAACAGGGACTGGGTAGCTTTACAAATGGATATTCTGAAATACTCTCACTTTACCGCAAATTGAACAATATTAGCCGAACATTGATCTCTAGCTTGCTAAACTGTGATTTAGCCAGCGGGAATGTACAGCTGGGCTCCCTCCCTCTCTTTAGGCAGGATGCCAGTAGAAATGAGAGCCCAAACAGAATTCTAGAATAATCAACATATCCTTTTTAAAAAAATGAAATCTCAGAGGAATTTTGTGGGTGGAAGTGAGGAAAAAGAAGCAGTTGCCAACACTTTGTTAGTCACCTATATTCCAAACATGATTCATAGGAATCGTAGGAAAAGTAGGAAAAATACTATTTGTATATTTCATAGGGGGAAATCCTATTACTTGCAGAGTAGCAGGAAACTATGCACGTATTGAGATTTATTGCATTGAACAGAATGCAAATTGTGCCTAATTTGATTCATTCACATTTTAGAATGAGATATATGGTTCATCTTCCCTTAAGCTCTCAGAGCAGAGACAAATTAATTCTATGCTATATCTTCACATGAAGCTACTTACCCCTTGTGAGAGAGCAGGCTGCACAGAAAATGGCCAGCACCTGACTGCTGTTGTCCTGTCTCTTTAAGCCTTCTCGCCACTCAGCAAAGTAAGTTTGGTATAAAAGCTATGCTGAGGAACAGCTGGTGTCTGTCTATCTATGTGTGTCTGTCTGAATGACAGACTGAGGTGTGTGTTTGTATATGGAAGTAAAACAGCCAGAACAAAACAATGTTCTCCAGCAGTACTCACAAAGAATAGGAATAGTTGCACTCACAAGAAGTAGTAGTTGGAATAGTAATAGTATTATAATGGGAAAAAGTGGAACAGTAACGAATAGTGAGCAATAACTTGGGAATGCTTCTATGTGCATGTTGCTTAGGGACTCATGTTGCCTCTTTCGTGTCTTGAGCCCACCAAATTGGTGTAGTTAAAAGAACTTGTGATAACCCCATGCTCCATTATGCAGGTTACTTTGTAATTAATGCCATAACTATCTTCTGGATCACAATATACCAATTACAAGTTTGGTAGAGTTTTATAATTGATGGTATTAGTTATACTGTAAACATGTAGCAGAAAATAAATGTATTAATAAACATGGATGTAGCTAGGAGTCATACAGGTTGAAAAATGCAGGGAGAAAAATTGTAGGACCATTCCAGGATATCAGAAGTGCCAGGAAATTTTACTATATTTAAGCTATTACCTTCAACCTAGTGTCTTGCATGTGTATTGGAATTCCATAGTCAGCATTATTTCAGTTAAAACCCAACTCATTTCATGGTGCCTAATTGAAAATGATCATATTAAAGATTAGCCCAGCTGGTCTTTTAGGGCTATACTATAAACTGACTTACCCAGAACCTTAAGCCTTACTGTGATTGTTATGATATAGAAGATGGCCTTTACACAATATGCAAAACTATGATGTGGCTTATAAGTGAAAGAACCTGCCACTACCCACCCACCAACTCTCACTATTAATGGTGAAAGTCAAGGGGCTCAAAAGGAACATTGGCAACATACAGTATGTTGTGACTTTGGGAGTCAGATGAATCATGTAATTACACAAATCCATTGGAGTTGGGTGGCCCATGCATGTGCATAATAAATAAAAACACTAATTATAAGGTCCAAACTCATCCACCATGACATGTAAACCACATTTCAATTTAGTGCTGACGCAGCAAGTCACTTTGTGTCCTTTAGCATGAGATACAAAGGCTCATGTTGCCGTAGCCTGATATATTAATTAGTCTGTAAGGGAACAGTTTGCCCAAAGCTTTTCCTGTACAGAAGACTGTCAATTTCTATATTTGGTATTGACTGATTTATGGGCAATTAAGACCAGGGCTTTTTTTGTCATAGAATGCCCAGAACAGAGTTCCGGCACTTTTTTGGGGATGGAACCTTGTAAGATAGGCAAGGCGGGTTATATGACATGTGTGAGTTCCGACACCTTTCCCCCCCCCCCCCAAAAAAAGCACTGATTAAGACTGTTTGGAAAGAAGGGAACTCTTGGATATAAATCATTATATTCTATCTTGTGCATGTTCAATAGGAAAATTCATATCTGACTGCCACATCTTTACCACTATATGTCTATGGAGATTCTCAGTCATCCACGTCATCGTTGTCCCAAAGATGCTTTTCAAAAGGCAGCTGGACTTTCTTTGTTTTTCCTTGAAGATGTTTCACTTCTTATCCAAGAAGCTTCAGAACTGAAGAAGCTTCTTGGATGAGAAGCAAAATGCCTTCAAGGAAAAACAAAGGAAGTGCAGTTGCCTCTTGATAAAGCTACTTTACAAGAAGGGAAAATAATAATACATGGCAGCAGTGAAGGCCAGAATCTTACATGCACGATCTGCTACTTGATTAGTACATCAACTAATAATTTGCATATCTAAAATAGGAATGTAAAATAGAAAGTGATTCACAACACACTGGAGCATGCACCGAACCATTCTCATCAAAACAGTAAAGCAAGTGAAATGCAAAAAACCTTTTTGAAAGGTTTTGCAGCAGTCCTAATACATACATAAAATATTTGACCACCACAGTTCCATATCATTTCATACTGTCATCAATTCAATAAAAAGCTCTTGAATCCATATTTGAGTGGATTCTTGCTGCCAGAATCCTTGCATGTGTACAAATTGAAATCAAGAAAAATGCATACATATTTGAATGCTGTCATCATATAACAGCTTCACAATAGGGATATTTAAGTTGTCAATAATGTGTCTTTTGACAGAGACAGTTAATATAAATCTGTGGTCTCACTTCCAGGTTTGGTCTTCTGCCAACTGAGCTCTTTACTATGTGGTGATCTACAATTGTGGGATGTTGTCCAATAATAATAATAATAATAATAATGGTCTGCCAAGGAGACTTTAAGTATTTATAGTTCACAATCATATACTCTAGGAGGCGCTCCAGCACCGCATTTTACCTGAAAAGCCATCGGCAGTTCAACAAGATAGAGATCAATGTAGTCAAGCTGCAAAATTTTTAAGGTCCTCTCCAGAGTTGGACGCACTAATTCTGGTGGGTGGCATGTATTCCACAACTAGGGCAAAAAGAAGGAAAAGAAAGAAAGCAGGATCTTTACTCCTTGGAACTATGGAATATAGAAACACAAATTTTAAAAATATACCAATTTGAGTGAATAGTATTAATTAAAATAAACCAGCACTAGTTATATTAAATTCTAGAATAATAAACTGCAAATTTGCCAAAACAAACCAAAGATGTTACACTTTTTGCTAAGGGAATACTTTGGCAAATGTTTTTTAAAACAATAGTGGAAACGGACTAAGATACTCTACCCATTCCTGTGGAAATAACCATCATTCAAATGACCGAAACTTACTGTAACTTTGAGTAGAAATGTATAAAATTATGCTGCAAAGAATTGTCTACAGGGAGGTGAGAATTAAAGAACCAACAGAGTAAATTGCTTATAAGCTATCATTATTTTAATTGTTTAATCTTCAACCTGCAATTTTTTGAATTGTTGCTATGCTTCCATCTTCTTTTGGGGTGTGATGGCAAGCAGTGTCTTTCAAAGGATGGCCTTTGACATCTCCCACCCACAAGATTAACTAAAATGGGTCGAAATATTTCTTCCGTGTGCTGGAAATGTAAATTGGCAAGAGGGACATATTACCACGTGTGGTGGGAGTGTCCAAAAGCCCGTGATGTTTGGAACAAGATTAAAAAATGGCTGGAAGAAATACTAATGATAGAAGTAGAGCTAAAGCCAGAACTGTTCCAACTAGGCATAACTACGGAGAAATACGACAAAGGGATACTTTACTTGATGCTACATATTCTCACAGCTGCTAGATTGGTGTATGCACAAAACTGGAGGAATAAAGGAATTCCAACAGAAGAAGAGATTTTATATAAAATTTTATTGTGTGCTGATATGGATAGGCTCACAATGGAAATGAAGGACAAGACAGAGTCAGATTACTTTGAAATCTGGGACAAATTCTATTGTTGGTGTGAATCAAGGAGAACTGTTCGGGTTTTAAGTTTGTGTTAAGATAGAGTTATATAAAACTGTATGTTAGTATATAGAGAAACAAATTAGAGACTGTATTGTATAGAAAAATATGTATACAGAGATTAAGAATTATATGTATGATGAGGAACAAATTGTTAGGAATATATACACTGGAATGTTATGTTATGTCCATCTTTGTTTTAACTGTTTTATAAATAAAAAACTTTAAAAAAAGGATGGCCTTTGATATGATGAAAGCGCACATCTGGTGTGATGAAAACAGTCAGTGAATCACATCAAAAAAAGCAGTGTTGCATTATTATCCAGATATTTCAAAGCAAATGGCATTTCACTGTATATAGGATACCCTTGATGTGTCCCTTTGGGCCAGAACAGTTATATTCCTTACAAAAGAAAACCCAACTCTGCTGATCTATGATTTAACCCCAAAATGCTGACTGGAGAGCCCTTTAATTCCAGTTGTGTTTAATAGCTATGGAGTTTGTCAAAGGAAGGAATCAAGTATCTGTTTGAGATTATAACTCCCATAATCTGTTCACCGTGCTGATAAGGGCTAATGGAAGTTGGAGCGCCAAACATCTGGAAGGTTCTGAGGTTGTTTCCCCCACAGCAACAAATGATAGTGTTAATATTATTTATTTTTTATGATTTTAATGCTTTTAATGCTGTAAACCACCCAGAATTGCTTTGATGCAAGATAAGTGGCAAATAAATTCAATAAGTAAATAAAATAAGTATAGCAGCAGGTGGGAATTCCAAAACAATTGTAAAAGCAATTTTTTTAGTTGCCCAGATTTGCAGATCATCTTTCAGTGACGGATTACAATCCTTTCCTCACTCAGGTCAATGGGATTTATTTTTCTTTTATTTATTTGTATTCTGCTTTTATTATTTTTACAAATAATGAACATATCCAACATACCTTCTTCCTCCTGTGAGGTGGAATGGGCTGAGAGAGAGTGAATGGCCCAAAGAAACCCAGCTGGATACAAAAATAGATTTAGGATTGCATTGCCTAATTGCTTTGCCTAACTTATTCACCAAAGCACCAGAGGGCAAGACAAGAAACAATGGTTGGAAATCAAAGAGAGAACTAACCTGGAATTAAGGAGTAACTTCCTGACAATTAACCAGTGGAACAGCTTGCCTCCAGAAATTGTGGGCACTCCATCACTAGAGATTTTCTTAAAATTCTATTCTATTCTATTCTATTCTATTCTATTCTATTCTATTCTATTCTATTCTATTCTATTCTATTCTATTCTATTCTATTCTATTCTATTCTTGTAAGCCAACTCTTGGCTTCACTGCATCATTTTCAAAATTTACATAGAGAACAAACTCTACCAATTAAACCCCCTTCTCAGTGATACTATGAACTGTGTTAAACTTATTTTTTTGTTTGTATCAAGGATTTTTAAAATAAGATTGTCTTTCACTGTAATTCTTTTCCTTTTTCCTTTTTCATCTCTATTGATTGTGCATTTTATCACCTATTTGGTAAAGATAATTGTCATGTATCAAACAATGAGAATGAGAGAAAGCTGCCAGATCACTCTTCTGTCAGCAACAATATTTTAGCCTCATGAAAGGGATGATCTGTGGGGGAGGAAATGACTGCCACACCCAATAAAGACCAACTTACCTCAACAGAATTGGCTATCGATGGAAGAGAGTGGAACCTCCAGCGATCATTGCCTGCCATTCTTTAAAACTCTTTGACTTTGATCAGCATGTCAAAATATGGATGTTGATGCTTTCCACCAGCAAGAATTTTAGGACTTGCTGGTGGAAAGCAATTCTTCTGACAGCTCTTCCAACTTATTTAGGGTGCATTGTCTTACCAACTCATGTCTCAATTTGTCACAACTCCCTCACTAAATTGGTAAATCAGAGCCAGATCTTTCCATTCTATATCTCTGGCAAATAATTTTAAAATTTATACCTTTCGATACATCCACACTTTCTGCTGACCTTGCTTGAGTTTGTGAATTTCACAGCTGTAGTTAGGAGCTTCATGAAATCATCAAAGGAAATTCTCAATCTTTGCATGAAGTTTTAATAATTGTCCAGCACTGGTTTGTTGCCCTTAATGATAGGCATGGCCCATCTGGCTGCCCTTTCTTTCAGCAAACTCAGCACAGGAGTCACTTTGGCACAATCTGTGGGAAATTCTGTTCGTCAGCCTGCCATAAATACAGTGTGGTCACACTGTATCATGAAGGTCAGGAATTGGTCTTGGTCTCCTCCAGAGATCTCTGGAATTCTCATAAGAGCACAGAAATACTGGCTGCACTATAGGCTGCTGGCCGAGTTAAATTGTATCCCAACTTTTCCGTTAGCTGCATCATGGCATTTTGCAAGTTATTCGTAAATCTGTCTGTTGTTGGTGTTGCAACAACGCTACAGCAAAGTGCTCAGTGGAGAATGGAGTACCCTGAAGACCAAAAACCCTCTCTACCAACAAAGGCAAGACCTTCAGCCTCTCTTGAAAGAGACTTGCAAGATTGATGTCAGACCAACTGGGTAGACCAGACCAGGAAAACAATTCCACAGGAAGGCTACAACTACAATTAAACTGGCTATCATAATATACTCTTGCAAATCTGATTGTTCTGTATTATGCCTCATTCTTATACTCTTATACTTCTATGTTAAATCAGGAAGGCATCTGTCTGAGCTTCTGTCAAATGTTATCTTCTCTCTCAAGGTTCAAAAAATGTTTCAGCCTCCTTTGTCCAGGTAATGGTTCTTGCATATTTCCATCAAGATCATCTTTATTCTCTACAATTGTGAATGAGTAAAAAAAAAAATCACCCTTTTCAAATGCAGATTGTAAGGCCTTGAAGACCTGTCTTTGTGGCCAGCCCTTGGGGCCCCATTTCCTTGCTATATTGACATCTCTGATGACATTTTTTTTCTCAGCTGCCATATATATTTAATTCTGTACTATGTTGTAACTGTTTTTAATTATTGTATGACTGTTTGCCCCCAAAGTTATTTGTTTGAGATGGGAAACTATAGGAAGGAAGGAAGGAAGGAAGGAAGGAAGGAAGGAAGGAAGGAAGGAAGGAAGGGAGGGAGGGAGGGAGGGAGGGAGGGAGGGAGGAAATGAATGTCACCATAGCTATTGTCAGAACAGATGCTCTCCAGATGTATTGAAACATAACTCCCATTATCTAGAATCAAATCAGTCATTGTGCTAAATATGATTAGTGAGATGTCTCCCATCATTCAATAACTTAGGGTCATGTGCTCATCAAACGGGTGGGAGAATCAAATGGTGGGAGAATCAGTACAAAGATAAAGCCACCCCTATGAATTTACACATAAACCAAGTTATTGGTTAGGACCACAAGTGTCCTTAAAATACACTAAGACCCACCCCCTTCGGATATGTTAAGTTCACCAACAGCCATTTTGCCTGGAGGGTTTTGGAATTATTCCACATATCTCGAGGATGACCATTTTGGGAAAGCCTAATTAACTCCCATGTAAATTTCACCTCATATAAAGTGGGTCTGGGAGAGATTTGACCAAGCTGAACTCAGGGATTCCACACAAGAAATTCCATGTCTCCCAATTCTCCTTTTTCTGAAGTATAACACAAAGGGACATCCAGCCAGCCAACCAGCAGAAGGATGGCATCCCATCTGAACTTTTTAAAACTGTGTAACTGAATGTGAGGACTCCAAGATGTCTCTTACCAGCATACCTGGGAAGAAAAATTATAGAAACCTTCTTCCAAAGGCCTGGGGGATGCAATGGTTCACTGGTTAAAGAAACTGAGCTTGTCAGACTTGAGTTTTGTGCAATGGGGTGAAATCCTGTTCCTTGCCCCAGCTCCTGTCCACCTAGCACAGGGGTAGGCAACCTTGGCTCTTTTATGACTTGTGGACTTCAACTCCCAAAATTCCTGAGCCAGCCATGCTGGCTCAGGAATTCTGGGAGTTGAAGTCCACGAGTCATAAAAGAGCCAAGGTTGCCTACCCCTGACCTAGCAATTCAAAAGTCTGCAAATGCAAGTAGATAAATAG